TGTCATTCTGGGGCTGGATGAGTCAATGAGCAGCTCAGGATAGCTTCAGGCATCACTGTGTTCCTGATGTCCTTTGCCTAATTTTAACTGTGCTTCTCTGCTTTTAACTGTGCTGCTCTGTACAAGAGCCTCCCCAAATATTTAATTTCCTGAGGGCCCGGAACAAACCATCAGACTGTCTCCCCAGGGCTGCCAGATGCCTGCACTGAGCAGATGAGGCAGATGTGCTGCTGCTAAAGAAAATAAACTAACAAGACAGGCATTAATCATCCACATTCAAACCCACTCTGGCCTTTTCACATTAAAAATAAGAAAACAAAAAAGCAAAGCTGAAATTTGAGAAATTAAACTCACTGTCGTAGAGTCTTTGTATTTGCTTTTGTCTTTTATATTTGCTTTGTTGTCATCTCACTTCTCTTTGCTTTTTGCCTTTTATTTGCTTTTGCCTTTTTATCTTCAAGAGAAAAAATTTACTTATGGGAGTGATGCAAGAAATGATGTCATTTGGGTACCTACATCACCCCGAGCCATTTAGAATAATCCCTTAGTCACATACAGTTGATAGCTGATCTTAACCTATTAACAGATGCAAAAGGACTTGCAGGACATCATGTATTTGTAGCTACAAACCAATTTAGTACTGCCTGTTCTCTCAAAATATTTTTGATTCTTTGGTAAACTCACCTCTGTGATGTTCAGGTGCAAGCAAGGAGTTAAAAGCAAAAATTATGATTTAGTGGAGAACTGGGCCTGTGGAATAAATCTGTGATTTAGATCAGTCCTCTGGCATGGTGATTTGGGAAAAGGAGGGTCTGGGTGTCCATAATGTCATGCGTTCATGGGGACAGAAATCCATTTCCCAGCAAAGCCAAGCTCTGCCAGACAGGGCTGGTCTCCCCTCCTCTACCCATTTCATCCACACTGAATCCTTTCCACACTGGAATAACTGGAGAAGAGCCTACAACAGCACTGTGTGCTCAGGGTCTGACTCAGGGCACTGTGTCTTTCCTCACCCCCATCTCCAAATGCTGTTTCCCAGGTGACCTGGCCCCCAAGGCAGAGGAGGGCTTCACTTTGACACTGGACACCTTCCTTCACGTCCAGCAGCTCAGGAAGAGGAGACTGAGAGCTTTCTGCAGCCAAGCAGGCAAAGTCATCACGCTGCCGAGCAGCCAGGATGAGAGAGCCTCCCTGCTCCCGAGCGTGAGGGTGAACACCAAGCTGGACCTCCTGTACTGCCAGGTGCCATCAGCAGGGGTGGAGGAATGGCATCAGCTTTTGGAGAAGCTAGAGGAGGAAAATGTGACACTGCCAGTGCCGCTCCCCTACCGCCGGCTGCACGCTAAGGGGACACGGCTGAGCGAGTTCAACCAGACGGAGAGAAAGGCCATGCTGGGGTCTTACACCAAAGTGCTCTTTGTCAGGGACCCTTTCCACAGGCTGATCGCCACATTCCTGCAAGGCATGGGCATCAGCCCGTCCTTCAGCAGCTTCGTCCAGGAAGTCCTAGACAGCGGAATGCACAACGGCAGCGCGGCATGGAAACCGCTGGTCAGCCTGTGCCAGCCCTGCCTCATCCGGTACGACTACGTGGTGATGTTTGGCTTCCTCAGGCAGGAGCTGGGCCACCTGCTGCGCCGGGCTGGGCTGCCTGCGGGCAGCCTCCTCCCCGAGCTCACCGACAGCCAGGCGCAGTGGACCTACAGGTGGCTGTCAGAGCAGATGTTCAGCGAGCTGTCTGCCCAGCAGAAGCAGCGGCTGTCTCATTTCTACCGCTGGGACCTTGCTGCTTTCCCGTTTTCTAGCAGTTTCCTGTCAGACCATCCCAGCACTGTGGAAATCCGGCAGAAATAGGAATAGGAAACAGAGGAGTTGTTTCAGGGAGCAAGCAAAAGCAAGTGCTTCAAGATACTGACCGGCTTCTGCTTCACAGCTGCTTGCAGTGAGGTTTTCCCTGTCACAGTCCAAAAGACTCGCCAGAGAGCTGAGACACACCACTGCCAGGGACAGGGGATCAACATGGTTGAATCATGTTTAAACATGACAGGAGCAGGCACTAGGGAAACTTGTGGCGCTGGACTTGGAAAACTGCATGAACTGAACTGTAATGGGAGAAACTCAGCAGTTTGGGCTATGGTGGGGACCTGCTGCAAACCACTGTGGCATCACACATGCTGTGCCCATGCTGATATTTCCTTTTCTGGGCTCCATGTTGGGCCAAGAGGTTTGGCAATGGCATCTTCCTGGCAAATCTTCACACTCAGATACAAGAAGTGCTCCCAGAGGAGCATGTCACCTGGAGGCCGAGATATGACACAGGGTGGCACACCCTGCTGGGGAACCACTGGCAATGTTCCCGATTTTTTCATGCTCAGGGAAGGTCAAGCCCAGTCCATCATTTGGTCTATTCTGTTCTGTGTGAACTGTTCCTGTTTTACAGCCTCATCTCCTATGTGTGTGGGCTCAAGTGGGCCCTGGGCATGGGATCCAATGCTTGCTCCATTCACAAGTTTTGAGTTTGGCTCCCATTCTTCCAGGGCTGACTCCGATGGGCCAAGGCCAGCGTTCAGCTCAGTGCACTAGCCCTGAGTCAGGGGAGTGTCAGTGTTGACCAGGTACCAGCCACAGCACCAGACAGGCTGTCTCCCACCTTGTGTCAGAAACTGGTGGGCCCTGTGGAGGTGGCTAGAAGCATCCAAATGCATCACTGTGCTGCTGTGGAAAATAGGATGTGGCTATTACAGGCTCCTGCTGGCAGAGAAGCACAAGGACTGACTCTGCTTTCATTCGGACATGGCTGCTAACGTGGCCAGACAGAGGCCCAGTCTCTCCAGCTGGCTCACGGCTTCATCCAGCTGGGCAGCCCGGAGCAATCACCCGCCCTCTCCCCGCTTTGGTCACCGAGCTGATCTGACTCTCAGTCCCTGGGAAAGGTCCATCTTTGTCAAGCAAACACCAAGGATCAGTTGTCTAGATTTCAAATCCTGCCAGACTCTGACCATAGGATTTTTTTTTTCCAGATTATTTAGCAGCTTTATTTTGCAATGTTGTGACATTCACAGAGAATTCCACGTACATTCATGATACCGTTTTGACAGCGCTCATTAAAGAACGTTAATGAAACTATTGATTAGACCTGACCTAAACAATTACCAAAATCTTGGCCTCCCTCTCTCACAGAAGGCCATGCAATTAATAGCATTAAAACATCAGATCAGCTGGGCTCCTTTCACACTCCCACACACTCTCCAGCTGCAGTAATTATTATTTAAGTGTCGTTATTGTGCGCAGTACTTTACAGTCTAGCAAGATGGCATAGTTCCTCTTCTGAGACAGATTTCTGAAAGAAGAAAAGCAGCAAATTTCCAATTATATGCCATTAAATTAGAGTCTTGCATCCATGCTTTATTTCACTGGAATGTACTAGAAAAGGAACATTTTTTCTCTTCATGAGTAGCTTTCCCTCCAGTGACAGCGAGCTGAGACCCCACACAGTGAGATGTAGTGGGAGGAGATGGGACACAGCACCTGGCAGAGGACAGTGGTGTGCACTCAGGGCAGGAGAGCTGCTCCCCGACAGCTTTGTAGTGCAGAGCACACCTCAGGTCAGGGATCTTCTCTTCCTGTCAGCCCTCCCCACTGGATCCTAGTCCTTTTATAAGGTGCGAGGCACTTAGTTCCTTGAAAACAATGTATGAAATGTTCAGACATTGAGAGGTGACACGAAAACCTCAGCTTCATGTTCCTTAGAGTCCCACGGCACAGACAGGTAGTACAATGATCTTTCTGTCAATTCCTGTTAGCCTCCAAGCTTCCCTTTTCCCTACATCCTCACAATCAGTTTCTGTCATTACTTTACAACCCTAATTTTTTACCATTGCCATCCCCAGGTGTTTGATTTAATTTACATTCCATTCCAGTGCACCACAAAAGGCAAGTGTTTCCTCTCTCCATCAGCTGGAGAGAGGGTATCAGGAGGGCCCCAAGGTGGGCTTGGCATGAGGACCCAGGCTGCTGCCTGGGAAGGAGTGGCTCACTGATGCTGCAGCAAAACTGGCTCCACAGGTCTGCTCTGAGCAGCCTGCTCTGACCTCTGCATGTACACAGAACTTGGCAAATGCTTTCCAATTAACTCACAAAGCAAATAGCAAAACAGAGACTTGATACAACTAATTTTAAAAAAATTCACCCGACCAGGTAGTCACTGTGACTGTGTGAGACACTCACAAACCCCTCCTGAAATTATGAAAACTCCAAAAGTAGGGAGACAAAGAGCACTTATTCATCCTGCTAGTGACATCCCAACATCTCCCAGCACCATCACAAGCAGCAGGCCTATTGTGAACACTGGCAGCTTTCCCCTGGCATGACACTGGGAGCTCCTTGATATCCCACTCTGTGTCCCCATGCTCTGCTTTAACATACAGTACCTTTGTATTTCCTCTCATCCTGGTCTGAATAAGTATGTCCAGCAATCCCACAAGGTGGAAGAGCTGATACCAATCTACCTTACAGATTTAGTATTTTGCACCCCTTCCTGGACACCCAAGAATGTGGACACACAGGCTCCAACAGCTGTTCTTGCACATGAATTATCACGTTTTCTTCTTCAAGAGGTTTTTTACATATTACCAACTTTCAGGAGAAAACAAAATTGTGTTCTTTCCCAGTACCTCAGAGCTTAAGAAACACCAATTATCATATTTCAATTAATAAAACAATTACATAGCAAGCCCAACAGGCACAATATACTTCCTGGAACTCCCTTCTTCTACTAGATGGTAGATCCATAATATTTGGAGTTAAGAAATAAATCTACACCTTTCCAAGCAGTATACCCTGGAGTGCTTAAAAAAAATATTTCACACTGAGCATGCATTGTCCAGTCCTAAGATGAAGGCCAATTTTAAGAAGTTTGTATGTAAGCAAAATTTTATATAAGGAGTTACATCCACTTGCACCATACTTCTTTGATGGCCCTGGGAGTGCAAAAAGAGAAAAAGGACATTTCTACAAAGCAGTAGGCCAGAAAAACAGATAGAAGTTTGCAAATGATAAGCAGGCACAGTATGTGGCTGACACCATCTAGAGATAACATGGTGCTCCAGTGTTGAATCCGACAGTGACAAAACCTGTCAGGAGGGATGCCCAGCACTAAATCCAACACAAAGAATATATTCAATCCAGATGACACCAGGTCATCACATAGCCAGCAGAGTTTTCAGACAAGCATTCCCTGTAGCAAAATGCATCCATTCTCTTGCATTCAGCAAAACTAAGAAATCTCTTGAAAAGAAGGCAAGGCATTTACCCTACAGCAAGGGATTTACCCTAGAGGGCACCCAGAGCCAGCTAATCCCCAGCTGTGCCCAACCTCCTCGTGCCCCTTGCTTAGGCTGGTGTAAATTACCTTGGGAACATCGATGGGCAAGTTTCTCTGTTACTCCAAGGTCTCTGATGTCCTTTCCTATTTAAAGGATGGGAAGAGATGTGGAGGTGTGGGATAGGAAAAGTCTGTGTCAAACAAAGCTGCATCTTGTTGGAAGTACTCTTGGTATATTTAGTTTTTATCTTTAATCAGAGAAGACAAAGGTAGCACTTGAACTAAAATCTCATTAAAGCCCAGGTGCAGACAAAGCAACAGTCATTGAACTTGGGGTAAAATCAGTTGCTGGTCACATTTTAGACTTTTCCTCTGAAACACTTTTATTACACAGGTAAGATCTTCATTAGCCAACACCAGAAGTCCTGCTCATCTTCCTCTAGGATGTAGCTGGCTTTGTGTGCAAAGGGAACACAGCAGGGTCCAGCCCTCAACACCTCTTATACCTTCCCCCATCTCAGCTAGAGGACTCTGTGTCTGGGATCAACACATTTGAGTCCTTCTTGGCATAGCATCACAAGGTGATACATCTTTTCCCTATAGCAGGAAAAAGAAACAATCACATTGGCTGGTAAGAAGCATCCTTGCAGCAATTTTATATGCAATCTGTAAGATTTTTCAATTACACCTGGATAACATCACCTTCAACTTACTCTTCATTTGAATTTACATCACAGCTATAATCTGGCAGCAATTTCCTCTCATAGAGAAAACAATGATTGGACAATTAAATGTGAAAGCTCCGTGAATCAGTGGGTGAGCCACATGAACACAGGTTGGTTTTTTTCCTCCATTATAGTCCTACTGCCTTGTGGTTCCTCTGATGTAAGCTCAGTTTCAGCAAGAGTTTTCTCCTCAAACTTTCCTCCTACACACGCACACACCATGGCTTAAAGGTTCCTGGCTCAGCAGAAGGGCACTAGAAAGAGAAAAAAGGATTGAATTAGCACAAATGAGGGTCCTGTCCAGCATTCAGCATGTCTCACCATGCTGCTTTTCAGATGGGACTTTGTGAAGACAGGAGCTCCTATCCCAGTTTTTCCAAAGATCGAGATGTCTGTCTCATGGCACTTCTGTTAGGGGCCTGATATTTGACTACTACAGAGCCCTGTGACAACACTGTGACAGAGCAGCCCAGAGAAACCAGTGACAGGGATAACTCCTGCACTCCTTCAGATCAAGTCCACAGCTCTAAGGAGACTCCTGTGGCTGTAACATCCAGAAGAAGGGAGTACTTGAAGGAACACTTTTCTCCCTCTCCCTTGCTGAGGGACACCACTAAATCACACCGTGGCCCTCACCATATGTGAGGATTCTCTGAGAGATGATAGTCAGGAGCATCAGGACAAGCAGCCAGTGCCATTGTTCCACACACAACACTTGGAGAGTGGAATGGACTGAACTTCAGAGATACTGTACAGAGCCCTTCCTGCAGTGGGAGCCCTAGCAGTGCTGGCCTGGGGATTTGGCTCTCAGCTGATGGCACGTCAAATGAAAGACAACACCCATGAAACAAAACCCATCTGCTGGAGCAGGGACACAGCCTCCCCATCCTGCCCTAATCCCAGCCCTGGACCCCTGTGACTTCCAGGCACACTCCCCATGGGCAGGCTGGCCAGGGAGCAGAGTGTGAGAGCAGGGGCTGTTACCATTTTGGTGAAGATGTCCACACAAGCGTTGCGGATCCTCTCAGGGGTGGCAGGGCTGTCCAGCCTGAACGCCTCCGTCAGGCCAGAGTCCTTCCTTGCTGCATAGATGGCATCTTTAATGGCATAAAATACTGAGGCAGACAGGAACAGAGGGGGCTCTCCCACAGCCTAGACAGAGCACAAGCAAGAGTGAGGCTTTGCCTTCCAGATGGGAACCTCAGTCTACCAGGTGTGCTCACTGAGGAAACATGATGCTAAAACAGCCTCCAGTGTGCCAGGTGTGATCAGTGAGGAAAGACTGAGCTAAATCAACCCTCAGTCCATTTAAAGAAGGAACAGGAAGAAAACACAAGCTTTCTCACACGGCAAAGCCACTTCCATTCTGTATAATGGACAATCAGGGTGGCAATGTGCAGCTTACTTCAGTTCTTCCTAACTAGAAAGGATAGTGCACACATTTCTGATAAGAAATAGAAAAACATCCTGACCTCAGAGTTACCACAGCATGATGAGATGAACTGTTTAGACACACAGGATCATGACTTTATCCCACTCAGCTTCACAGTGTTATGGGGCAGTAAGAGGCCCACAGACCTCACAGGCGTACCTTGGATGAGTAAACTGCCTTGCTGTTGGGGCAGTCACGGAGAAGGGACACATTGAATTCTGTTGGGATGTCTCCAAATGCTGGGATTTTGTACATGCCAGGCCCTCGAGTGTACAAGTTCCCTTCAGGAGAGTAACGCAGCTCCTCCATGGTGAAGAGCCCAATGCCCTGGACAAAGGCTCCTTCTATCTACAAACACATCCAAACAAGGTTACAGTCTCTGTTGTTGTTGTTCTTCCCTGCACAAGGACAAACAGTGATGACATCCACCAGGGTTTTCAACTCCTCCCACCTGACTCAGATCCCACTTTTTATCTCTAAACCCTTGTCCCTTCTGCTGGGTACAATCTTTGCACAATTCCTGTGTTCCCACATAAATGTGGCTGCATTTCCCTGGCAGGTGAAGCAATTTACAAATATATGCAAACAGATTTTCTGTAAACACAGGACAGGAATTTTCTGATGAAGCAACAGAAAAAAAAAAAAATCAATGATAAGATATTGATTTCTTCCCAGGCAGGTGAGCATTGAATGAGTGAACTTGCTGATATATCAAAGGACAAGTAGACTAAAAGGACTGAAGATGAAGCATCTAAAGACAAACTATTTTATACTCTCAGTATAAATGCTTTCCTAAATGCTGTGTATTATCAGGTCAGCAGCACAGACACCTGCGAAAACACTCCCATATCCATTTAAGTACCAAAAAAAATTGTCATATTTTTCCTACTGTAAATTTTATGATAAAGATTACAAGAAGAGGATGTGCTTGAACAACGCTGCACAAAACAGCTCTGCTCTCTGTGCCCACTGAGGTATCTGACAGCCAGAGCAGCCACAAGCATTCATTGACCCATCTCTGTGTACTTGTATTCCTGCACTCATGCCACATCCTTTCTCTCCTGTGCCCCCAGATCCTCTGCAGCAATGGAAGGACACAGGAATTGAAGACCCCTTTGACAGGCTCCATTTACCCAGCTCTCAACTCCCAAACCTAAAGCGACAGGCTGCAAAGACAGAAAATCCCTCTCTCCCCTTGGACACTTCCAAAAAAGAAAAAAATCGTTCAGAAAAAATGTCACTTTCAAAGAAATTTAGCTGTAGCAGAGCTTAGCAAGTCATGCTCTCCTGTCATCCCAAATCCTGCAGCAGTTTCACTGGAGTTACACCATATCAACATCTAGAGCTAGCCAGCGAGCTAAGATGGCTAGATAAGCATACATCTAACAATTCATTTCTTGGTCTGTCAGACAACCTTGGTTTATTACCTTTATCTGCCAAGAGATAGTGTGGTTATTACTGCACAAAATTTTGAAGTAATCTTGTGCCTGCCCAAGGACTTTGCAAGATAAGTGACTGGTCCAACTTCCTATTGAGAATTCTACACAGCAGCAGCTGGAAGACAGAATCTGCCACCCTAACTCTTTAGTCAGGAGAATTTTCACCAAGTTAAATAAACTTAATATTGACAGATAGGAATATAAATATTAGGTCTGGGATTTAGCCTGAAAAACGTCAGTGGGGTGGTAACTGAACAATATCATGTAGTCTTATTGTCCAAAAGGTAAAAATCTCCAAACCCTAACAGAATATTTCCCTATGTAATTCTGTGCCAAGTTAAAAAGGGTGTGTTTGCAAAGGCACAACTTGGAGAGGGATAATAAATAGAAAAGCCTGAGAGCAGTGTGACTGCCTTAACATGATGGAAATAGCAATACTTTTCACTTACCTGTCCTATATCTATGGCTGGGTTCAGACTGGTACCAACATCCATAACAATGTCTGTGCGAATGTTCTAAAAAAACAGGAATAAAGGTAAATCAGCACAGGTCTCTGGAACTGGCCCACCATGTCTCATGTGAGGAAGAGTATCCAAACACTACCCCACATAATCTTATCTCAGCTGAACTTCTCATACTGATTTTTAATCCGAGTTCAGACCAAAAGCAATTGAAAGGAACTCACTGCAGTTTTCCCCAGAGGTCCAGTGGACCCAGTTAATATTAATTCCAAGATGCTGGTATCAGTGGCCTGCAGCTCAGCATAATCAGCTAGGTCAGATCCTGATTTAATTTTTTTCTTCTTTTTTTTTTTTTTTTCTTTCATTCCAGAAGTCATCAGTGTTATTTTTAATTATTAACTCAATTCCAGGATGTTTCTGTACTTTTGTGCCAACACAGTGCTGCTATCTCTTACTCAAGCAAATCCAATAACTTTTGCAATCATTCATTAAGCCCCAAATCCCCACAGGGTAGATAATTATTGTTTTATTACACTTTACGGATCGTGCACTGTGGAACAGAGGAGTTAAGAAATTTGCTGAAGGTCACACCAGCCCAATGACAGAGCCAGGAATGGGCTGACACACAGTATTTGTTCTGTTTCACTGCTGACCCCTCACCTTGTGGTCACCTGTCAGGCAATCTATCTCAACCTCAGAGCAGGCAACTCCGTAACTGAAGTACGAGAATGGTTTCCCTTCGTTCTTTTCAAAGTTGTAGCCAACTTCAGGAATTCTTGATACAAAGAGAAACAAAACCACGTTTAATGTCATGAAAAAAACCCAAATACAACTACATCGCTGCTTGTCAAAACCCTTATTCACATTTGTTTCATTCCTTCTGTCAATCCCATGCAGAAATTAAAAGTGTAAACAACTATAAAGAGAAATCTGCTTAATCTACTCGGTAACAATTCCAAAACCTGATTGAAACCATCAAACTGTTTTAGCCATCTTTATTTGCCCATAAATCTCAGGGTTTGTGATAGCTATTATTTACCAATCCACTGAAAAGTCCTTTGCTTTGAGAGTGCAGCTGAACATTTCTTTAAGGCCATTAAACTTCAGAACATCATTAAGCTGAAGCAGAAACTCTATTAAGCTTAGAACTGATTTTAAGCAGAGTTAATGGCAAATTTGACTACTTATACTTTATCTGAAAACTGGTTTATTAAAATGCTGACAAGTCACTTGGTTAAGAGAAAAAATACATTTCAGGGATGGAAAAGAAACTAACATGTAGTGTATTTTAGCCCTAAATATGCTTATTTATTAATGTCAACCCCCCTGCCTTAAAGATGATGGATCTCTGCTTTCCTCCAGCAAGAAAGCTGACTAAGAGAAGCTCCTCATTTCAAAACTACACAGGGTCCAGCAAGAGTCTGAAGTGGGAGAACACTGCTGGAAACACTGGTATCTGCTCATGCCACAAGAGACAGGATTTTCCTCAAGGACAACCCCTGTCCCCTCTTATCCTGCATGGCAGTTCTAGTGCAAAACTAGGCCACAGGGCTGACACAGAGCAGAGCCCCAGGCAAAGCTCTGATTTCATTTATGCCTCTTCAGACCAAGGTCAGCTGGAATGAAGTCAGATTTACTTGCTCTCAGAGCTGTGTTCCATCAGGAATCAATTCTCCCCAGCCAAGAGACTGTTAACCTCAGCTTATCACTTGTAGGTAGGAAAGGGAATGCAGCTTTAATTTAGAGCAGTTACAGGGGGCTGGGGGCTGTAAATCTTCCCAGAATTTCCGTGGATGCAATCCATGCACTTGAGTCAGTGCCTCTGCAGTGTGAATTTTCACTCACCTATAAAACCCTGTGGCTGACAGGCTGACACAGCTCTCATAGGCGGTTTTAATCTGGCAACGTGAACAAGAGTTTGAAAACAATAAAATATACAACCAGGCTATTCAAAATAACTGCACAAAAACATTTCCAGGAGGCCTCAAGTAGCAAATGCCCAGTGACAGACAGCTGTCACACTACCCAACGCCAGCACTGCCAAACATCATGATTGCAGCTGCTTCCCCGAACAGCCCCGTCAGCAGCTACCAAGGGCAGAATTTGAGCCACTGGCAGAGGATGAGAGCTGCTTGTGTTTGTTTGTCTCTCAGCTACAGGTTAGACTTTTAGCCTCAGGGACAAAGGTTAAATTGATAGGTCATCTTGACTAGTGAGGGAAATTCTACCCTGACTTCCAAAGTCAAAACGCCTCGGATGGAGAGCAGAGCTTGGATCTGAAGAGAGACTTACAGCCCAACCATCTCTTCTCATTGAGGGGACGGAGATATTGCAGACAAGGAGCACTATAGGGGCTGAATGGGAGCTCAACAAGAGCTGTCTATGCTACAGAATCCCTTCATTAAAAATGAGGTTTCCTTCTGTCCTAGACTGTAGTCTGACGATAAAGATAACCACTCAAGACTTTTGTCTGATGAAGTTTGTCGTAGGCAGGCCCCAAAATTTGGAGAAATCTCAGGATTAAAGTAATAACTGACATCTTGGGGATGACCTCTTGTAAGTTTTAATTACTTGGAAATCTGTACCAGGTTTGTGTTTCATTGTCTTTGCTCAAATCTATGCTAGCAAGATGCAGGAGGACACACCTGCACACATGGTTTGCCAATTAAAACAATCTCTGATAATGTCCACTTGTCTCATGACAGACACAAACAGCTTACCCAGTCTTCCCAGGATCCTTTGGGATTAGACTGCTTGACTGGCTCAAGTCTTTTTAGGATAGTCTGACATGCGTTCTAGAAACAAAGAGAGAGAGAAGAAATAGTTTAAGATTTGAATAACCAGCTTATGTTATTAAGAGCCCTCTAAGAGTTTCAAAGAACCTTGTATTTAAAGCAATATTGCCTTTAGGACTTTGGCAAATCATAAAAAGGAACAAAGGTCACTAATGGATGTCTTGCTACATAGGAAGAAATATTGCCTGAAAAGGATTTTAAAGGAGATTGGCTGTGCTGATAGCAGAAAGGAATCCCAAATTCAGCACAGAGCTTTGTGGACCATGACACAAATATAAGAAGTCTGCTCATTTATACATTAACTTTGTCTCTACCCCATCTGTACAGGACAGCTCAGCATAGCTTACAAGATGATCCTTTAACACCGAAAGAACAAAAAATTTCTTCCCAAAATTCAACCTACACATATAAATTGTGCAGAGAACAAAAACAGCCTGATTGTTTTACTTTGCAGGTTTCACTTCCCCTTGTCTTTTTACACTGATAATGACCAGTACTAAATTCTTGTTTTGAAATGGAAAAATCACATACCCAGCAAATATATGCATTGGTAACTTCACCATGGCAGACAGCCACGACCATGTCATTGCATTTGCTCTGAGCTGATCAACACTTAGAGCTTGTGCAGCACAGCTCTCAAACCATTTGCTATTAACACATGCAGCAAAAAACACATTGTTATAGATAAGGCTGTACTAATTACTTTGAAGATGGCTATTTAAATGGATGCTTTGCTCTGCTCATTCTGAGCAATCCCAAATACTCTATTTTTAGAACTACCACAGGACTGAAGAAGAGTTTCAAATAACTTGAAAAATATAGTAATTCTCAATCTAATGCCACTGCTAGCTATACCAGGTAACGTTATGAGACATCCTTACACTGGAACTGCCTTTTGATGGTTTTCCTTAAGCAACAACAGATAAATACAGGCCAGCTTTTCATGCCCTGGAGCCCTCCCTTGTAACCCGCTGCTTTAAATAACTCAGCTTCCGTACATAGACGGCCATTCCATTGATGTCGGCGCTGACTGAGGCGGCTGTCGGGGAGGTATTTGGGACAGTGTTTGTGCTGGTCTCACTGATGTAAATTTTGGAGGTGGGGACTCCCAGGGCCCTGCTAGCGACCTGTGAAGCAAAGGCAAACAATTGGTAAGCAGCGCTTCTATCCATGAGCATTGTCAGTCATTGCTCACACTGCCAGGACCCACACCGCAACCTCTCCCACCATAAACTTCATTTTTCCTGCAGACCGAGTTGTTCCAGGGACTGAGAACTGGCCAAGACATTGTTATATTTTAATTTCACAGACTGAATGTGTGTGTGCACATATTTTTTTGCCACAATGACAGACATTCATTTCACTATTATGAGACTAAATTCTTCTCTCAACAGTTAAAAGAAAACAGAAGATCAAAAGCCCTGTGAGATTTTCCTGCCAAAGGAATTTTGCTCCTTTAAACCTTTTTTAACTACAAAAGCACTAGCATATGTAGATATAAATGTTTTCAATACAACTAATTGTTATATGAAATGGATAGAAACTGTACCTTTATGAGGTGAACTGATAGTGCCAGAGTAGTTAAACTGTAAGCATGACCTGCATTATTTACATAATGAGATTTGCGATGATGAAGAATCTAATTCTAATACTTAGTTGTGATAATACTCTGGAAATCTAGCACTGCTGCTCAAACAATGAAGAGGAATCAGTCCTGATTTGTTACTCTCTGCATGAACAAGGAAGAAGTGTCAAGGTGCCTGAGGCAATGCTGTAGGGAGAGTGTAATTGTCCTGAAAGACATCTTATTCAGTTAAGCCCAAACTCATTATTACCTGAATCATTTTGGTGTGAAGTCCTTGACCCATCTCAGTCCCACCATGTGTAAGTAACACAGAGCCATCTGTATACACATGGACCAGAGCTCCAGCCTACAACAGGGAACATTAATCATCATAAATTAACTAGGGGAGTACTTAGCAGGCTATGGAGAGAATTCATTCAGAACTAGACTGAGGTTCTTCTTTGGTGCAACTAAAGCCATTTGTTTACACTTCAGGTGAGTTTGGTTTAGTCTCACCAACTCACTAGATGTTCCAGTGACGTAACAAACCCCAGTCAGTATTTTCAGCTCAGAAGGCAGATGAAGTAATCCAATCCTGCCCCTGTGAAACACAGATGCACCCTTAACCTCAGCTTTCCAACACCACTGACCGTCCATCAAATCACCTCAAACACAGGAGCAGTGTTTCTACTATTGAGAAAGGCAAGAAAATCAACCTAACACATAACCATGGAAATATTGTGGTGTCTTTTGGACAGTATAAACTGGAAACTGTTGTGGTGCTCATTTTGGCTTGAAAAATGTGTGCTCTTTTTTAACTAATTTACTACTTCTTCAAGAAGCTCCAGTTTGGTACATATGGAGGAAGGCCTGGGGGAGGCAGCATAAATCAAATTCTCTAGTGAAAAGGCAAATGATATTTACAGACCTGGTTCAGAAATGGGACAGTGAAACTGATGCCAAATTTGGTAGGAATGATGCTTATCCCTCTCTTTTTCCAGCGGTTCTGCCTGCAAAGAAAGAACATTATTTGTATACCCATGAGCCTTTTATCATAAATCAATACTGTGCTTCCCTCTGACTGTGCATCAAATGGAAATTAAATACTTGACTGTGATAAAGACTGAGTTCATCACTAATTTGTATTAAAGGCTTTCTTTGTGTGTTCCAACAAGAGGAAATTGCAACTGAAGATGCTCTCTGCAAGCATTATAGAAACAGTTGTCCCTACTATCAACTGCTCAGTCGTATATACAAGCCAACTACAAAAGTCTTTGAGACAGAGGAAAGCATAAACAGATTGCCTTGACAGTCATGTGAAAATCCTAGCTGGACTTAACAGACCCCCTCTTCTTTTCTACAGTTCACTTAGAAAATCTCATCATACTGGGTCTCATTCTGGCCCCATATATGCTGCCAGCTGACAGACTTTTCCTCTGACAGTGAGCATAAAGGGATTTCAAAAGGAGAAATATTTAGAAGACAGTCTGCAAATATAAGGTGTGACTTCACATTACTCAAGTTGCTAAGAGAACTTCAGAAGTTAGTAGCCAACAGGTGCACCCAGTGACAAGACAGCTCCAGGGCACCTACTTGTTAAATTCTTCAATCAGTTTCTTCCTGGCGTGATAGCCGGAGCTGGACAAACATTCATCCCAGCATCTTCGTAGAGTAAATCCCTCTAGCTTTTGGTTAAAATGAGTTGTGTCTCCTTCGTGGTAGAGATTGAGCTTCCTCACCTTCCCAAAAAGACACAGAAAGGATAGGCCAAGTTTAGTGCTCCAGACAAGAAGGGATGAGATCTAAAGTGTGTTGGTTCCTAGTTTTACTCCTTTGCTCTTTCTACAAAGAGCCAAGGAGCAAAACAATTAACAAACATATATCTGTTTATGGGAAAACATGAACTAAGACATAAGGCTGAAAGTTTTCAGAGATTGGGACTTAATGCACATTGTCAATAAGATTAAGGTACCTGGTGCCTTTGGACTTTCTTCCTTTTAATATCTATTCTTAAAGCAGATGTTACAAAATTGAGGCTACCAAGGAATTTAATTAAACAGAAGATAATCCATGCAAGAATGTATCTGTCACACAAGTTTGAGATCCTGCTGGGAGCTCAACAAAAATGAAGCAAAAGTTCTTATGCTTAAAAATCTTGTGTGGCTGATGCAGTTCTCAGAGCTTGTTCAAAGGCAGCACCCCCCTGGAAGGTGTCAGTGGGTCTGTACCTCCTCAGGTGGCAGGCCACACTTCCGAGCCAGGTCACTCATCCAGCACTCAGCAATCATCATTCCCTGGGGCCCTCCAAAGCCACGGAAGGCTGTGTTGGAAGGCAAGTTTGTCTTGCAAACAATGCCCACGCTGCTGACATTGGGGATGTTGTAGGAGTTATCCAAGTGTAACAGGGCTCTGTCCATTACCTGGTGAAGAAAAGGAATGGAGGTGGACACATTTCATATTAATTGGATGTCAGACTTCTCACCAGTGCCAAAACCAGACCAGAAGCTCTGAAGCCAATTTACAACAATCAGCATTTTCTCTAGCACCCTGCAGTGTTGTAGTCAACAGAGCTGGATGAGCACTGACGTGCAGACAGAACTGCCTCCCAGGTGCAATGGAATGTCAAGTAGTGTTCTCCTGAACGACAGGACAATAAGCACACTCCTCTGTTGACTCCTATGGCTCTGGGACAGATTGAGCTTCAAAGTCCTTTTTTGGCCCTGGGCTCATGCTGACTCAAACTGTTAGTAAATGCCATTATCTGTCAGGAAGAAGCAGAGTTTTCTTTTCACTACATTGAGTAATCTGTTACTGGAAAAGTGACTCAGTGCTGGGCTATGTCAGGAGGGGCAAACATATGAAATAAATATTTTCAGTAACTGCAAGATTTGAGATATTTGTCCTCTTATTGTCCACACTGGGAAAGGGCCAGAATTTCTTTCTGGCTTGTGTTTTAAGACTTCCCTTCCAGCAGCAGCACCGAGAGGACATTACACACAACCAAACCTTATCTCTACATGGAGCACTTTCCAGTCCCCTGATTCAGACACAGCCAAAAAGACAATTACACAGATGTGCTCTCAACCAGGCCCTCAGCTTATGCAAAGACACTTGCTTGTCATTCTGCTCTGCCCAGCACCAGCCACATTGCCAGCATTGCCAGGTAGAGACCTCCTGCAGTTCTTTCCTATTGAAAAGGATCAACTTTTGCAGAAAATTATCAAAGACTTGGTGGACTGGAGAAAGTGAGCTAGAATAAGCCTGTGTGACACTAGGCTATTGAGTTGATCACTCACATGACAGAAAAGGAGAGGTTTTTACTCATCTGCAAAACTTTTTGGAGACAAACTCAGAACTTGGGCCCATTTTTTGTCCTTACTGCTTGGGAACACAGTGTTGGCTTTAGCCAGTCCTTTGCAAGCTTGTCCTGATCAACCTATTGACTGGGATGCTTCTTTCTCCAAGGAATTATCTTTGCCCAGAGCTAGGGATCTATCAGCCATCTTTCATTGTGCAACAACTTTTCCCTCACAGCCCTCTGTCATGCAAAGCAAACATTATTGACCCCTTTGCTCAATCTGAGTTATTTCAGCATCCATAAAAATTATGTGGCACATGCTAAGACAGGTGAGTTGGCTCACAGAGCATTTGTAGAAGCTCCAAAAGCCCTTCAAAATCTGTTTTCAGTCATGTCAAAGAGCTGCATGTGCTAGCAGTGCTGCAGGCAACAACTCTCTGAAGGCAGAGCAGAAGGTTGCACAGAAACAGACCTTCTGCTTAGTTAGCCATCAGAAGATTTTACTTACACCATGAGAGAGGTCTATAGAGTTGCCCCCATTGCTGTAGTATGACACCTCCAGACTCTTGACTTTCCCATTCTTCATGAAGCCAACCTGTCAAGAGAGTGTCTCCTCAGTAATCACTTTTCAACAAAATGTTTTGGTTTGTGCTTGCCTCCAAAGACTGAATGGCTTTCACACAGGCAGAGAGGGCTGACTGTCCCCAGTGCAGCACAGGGCAGGCACAGCCAGCAGCTGAGGGAGTTCCCCAGTAAAGGGTTCATGCATGTGTCAATCTTGCTGCAGAGAACTCTTCTAAATTAAGTGCTGGCCACTTACCACTGCCACAATTTCCTCAACAGGCTTTTGCTTTCAAAATCACTAGCAATTGGAGAGGGATTGAAGTAGAAAGGAAGTTAACCAAGCACATTGCTGTGTAAAGGATGCTTTACAGGAATGGGCAAACCTCTAAAAGAAATGTGACTGTCAGCAGGGTCAAAGTCTTGGCTGCAAGGAAGGCAGAGTTATTTAAGCTGAGGTCACAAGAAGGGAACCATCCAAGCCAAAATAACTTCTGCAGCACTTCAACAGGAAAAATGCTACAGCCCATCTGACTTGGCCCATTTGCAGCAGGGGAGATCAGCAGTGAAACAACCATAGCAGCATTTTTTCCCAATATCTTTCTGCTCTCTGATGTCTCAGGGGACAGCACTGAGACCAGCTGGGCTCTTCCCACGTGTGTGCATACCTTGTACCTCCCCAGGAAGGGGTGCCTCCCACCACTGATCAGCATGTCCTCATCTCGATCCAGCATGCACCGCACTGCACGGCCAGTTCTGGGAAAGAACACGGGTTTTTAGGCAAAGCCTGAAGTGCACAATGCAGTTCCTGCAGAACAAGGCTCTTCTCTTTGTCTTCCCAGGATGGCAAAGGACAGTTAAGAGTAAACTGCTTAGTTCATATATCTTACTCTTAAGAATATGGCAAGACTAAATAAAAAGAATAAACATCTCCAAAGTTGGGACCTGTTTGTGAAAACTCTTGTATTAAAAAAGACTCTTGTATTAAAAAAAGAGATATTAGCAGCTATCTCTTTTAGAGACAGATGCTAATAACTGAGAAAACACTGTTTTCAAGGCTATTTCTCAAGGCACTCTTTTGGCTTTGAAAAAGACAATGCCACAGGAATTACATAATGATGCAAAGTACTAACTAGCCTTCAATTTGACCTTGTTTTTTATTTGCTTATTTATTATCAAGGAGGAAAACAAGGGGGAGAATAGGAGTGGTTCTTAATTTTCTAACAACTTTGCCTTTCAAGTGCCTGTCTTCAGGTTGTACCAGTATCTAGCAAATGTCATATATGTTGTTTTGTAGCCTCCAGGATGTCAAACAGTGGTTTGGCTGGCAGAGATAAAGAGAAGAAAAGGATGCAAATGTATTACTGATTAATTAGAGAAAGCAGATTGTTTGCTTAGAACAGAAAAAAATACAGTCAATTTAAAAACAGAGTTTCATTTTGCTTGTCCTCCCTCATCCAAAGGTATTTTGTCAAACTGCTGCTGTGTTGCAAGATCCCTCCAGCTCTGCCAGCACTGGGAAGGGCAGGGTACAGGCAGGGCAGAAATGTCACCTCAGAGGCCATGTCCACCCAAAGCCTGCACAGTTAAACATGAGCCCACAGCAAAACTCTGGAAACCAGGAGCACTTTTCCAATCTACTCTTTACAAATGGTTGCAACCTAGGTTAATTCCCTGACCTTTTAAGGGTTTGAAAAGTGTGGGTTCCAAGCCCTGCCACCATTCCTAGGGAAAAATCCCAAGAGGGAGCTTTCAGAAGTGCAGACATATAATGAAGCAAGACTGGTGTAGTAGAGTTTTGAACAAAGAAGAGATTCTCATACCTCTATTGAACAAGAAAACACATGGCTGGGGCTGGATTTTGAAATGGTTTGGGGTGAAGTGAGGGGGAAAGGCAAATAATTTGAGATCCAAGAGTTTTCAGAGAGCACCAAAGGAGTAAAGAATAAGGAGGCTTTCCCCCCTTTCCTATTAAAAGCTGACATTCCTACATAAACTTAGCCCCTCTGGGCAGGTTCAATCCCTCCTACCAGCTAGGAACCCATTAGACACCTCCTTTGGGAAATCCCAAGCTTGCTATAAGTGGTACAGTAAGAAGACATACAGAGTATTGAAAGTGCTCCAGCAGATATGGTGCTCCAGAAAGAGGCAGCCTGGGACAATCTGAAGGAAAAAAAAAATCCCTCTTCCCCCACACCCAAACTTACTTGAAGGCTGCAACAGCCACTACAGATGTCAAAATAGTACTCCTAGTCTCTTTTCCTCCAAATCCTCCTCCCATTCTTTTCACTCGAACCACAACTCGATTTGAAGGCACTCCCAGTGCATTAGCAGCAAACTCCTAAAGAAAAACAAAACAGCAGGACATGTAGGGAGCTCAGCTGGTGTTAAGAACTAAATGCCAACACATTGCCTTCCTGAAACCATTTCAACAGTGCAAATACTGGATTTGATGGAATTGGAGCCAATAAGCCCAGCATTTGATGACTGAGGGGGAAAGGCACAGTGCTGCAGCACACAGGGTCAGATTCAGGAAAAGACTGACACAAGATGAGGTAACCAAGACACAGGTGTCATTTAGCACAGGCTTTGACATCCATACCACCCTCACTGCATTGAGAGACCTTTGAACAGTCTTGGTGGGCCAGTAAACGGGCCAAGGACACCCCATGGTGCCAGTAGCCAATCTCATGGAATGGGAGAGTTGGTGCACAGCCAGTGGTTTCACCATCTCTCTTTCTGATGTGTCATTCAAGCCTCGTGTGTTCTGAGCAGCTGGGACCCTCCCCAGAAAGGACTAAGCATGTAATCCCTCCTAACAAAGATGTGTTGCCAACAGAAATATCTCTGCCACCTGGAAGGAGATTCAGGACTCCAGCAGGATGGGTAAGGGCTTTAGATCCCATACCCAACTCTAAGCCTATGTGGTTTTTAATTGAAGAATCAAATAAGAACAACTACAAAACAACCATTCATCTAGTCTGAAACTGAGAAACAAATGCCTTTTAGGCACCAGGTTAATGAGAAGTACCTGTGTCTTCATTGGGTTCTGGGTTGACACAAAGAGTTCCATCTCACCATCTTCTCCCTTTGGCACAGCCAAAGTACAGTGAGTTTCCAGGTAGAAATGCTCCTGACCACCAAGGTACATCTCTCCTAGAAAATTGAAATAAATGCCCCACAGAAAGGGCATCCCTGGTATTACAAGGTGTCACCCATTACACGTTGTCTTCAATTTATTGCCTTCTGTACATGTGTTAAGTGACAACCCCTTGCTTTACCCAGCACTGGATATCACTAGCTCTAAAAGTGACACTACTGGTTCAATCTTTAAAAAACAACAAAAAATAGAACAACAAAACACAATAAAAATTCCATACATGCTTCCTTTCCACTTTTTAGAAATCTTAGTTATAAAACACAAGTGGCTGGCATTTCAAAAATAAGTCTGCACACCATGCCATTGATCCAGCATCTCTGAAGATGCAGTATTTGGTGCCTTTCAAGACTGCCTCAATAACACCACTGAGATAAGAATAAAAATAAATCAAGTATAGTCTAGCTGAGTAGATAAAGTACAAGGTTGCAGACTTTGAAACTGGAGAACAAAAAACAGAAACCCAAAATGCCTCAAGATGATCTAACTGGGAATTAGTTTTCTATCACTGCATGTGGCTCTTTCCCAGGGCATCTTACCTGGCAGTGCTGAGGGTACAATTTCCAGTCATGCTACACACAATTAAATGTCAGAAACAATCTCCTTTCTCAGCCATGGCCCTGATCTGTTCTTTGTGGCCCATTTGCCTAAGATACAGCCATACACCAGATTAAAGGAAATTGGCTGCCTATAAGATTTAGACCAGACTATGTCAGGACAGGGAAAAATTTCAGAAAAGAAAAAAAACCAAATATTCTACGAATATTTGTTCAAGAAAAATGTGTGCTTTGATTGAAAAAAAGAGTGTTTTCTGGGGGCACAGCTGGCAGCATCCAGGTTTGTTTCAAACAATAACATTTGTATATCAGTCTGAAACTTTATAAGAAATCAGTTCAGTCCTGCAAATCCTACTCTCAGGATCATATGAAAAAAAAAGGAAGCTGATGGCTTGACTTTTGTAACAAACAGTACTATTTTAAAAGAGTTATTAATGCTTATTCTCACCCTCCAAAATGTGATCAGATTCTTCAAATCCTTTCTTCACATCTCCCTTATTAATCCTCTTTATATCCTTAAAGAAAGATTTTTTCTCAATCGCTTCCTAGGAAACAGAAAGACACAGTGACATTTTTGTCTAAGTGGAATGAAATCAAACCTTCCTCTAACTGAAGAAGAAATATCCAAGATAAAAAGCACAACTTATCAGACAATTTCTATGGCAGTAGCCAAGAGACTTTACTAAAAGCAATAGAAAATAACTTTTGGCAACAAAGCAATTTCACAACCAATACCACCATAATTGGACAATCTTAAAGTACTCCTTGTGACTTGTTTTACATTGAGGACCCAGAACCTCAGGGCCTGTAACCACAAGAGCTATAATTTAATAACTTACAACTTATATTAACTCTTGTCTGTAGCCCATAGAGTGGGAGAAAGGATAAAAAAAAAAAAAGAGAAATAAAAGAGAAAGAGAAAATGAAACCTCTCAGATAAGAAGTGCAGTAGTAGTTCACTTCTGAGCTAATATACAGGGAAGTATATAAGGGAAGTTTAACAAAGGCTTTTTCCTTTTGCTAAAACTGAAGCTTTCCATAATGAAAACAACCCCCACCAAATATCAAGCAACAAAAACCAAAACAACCACCAGCATGTTTTTGGCTCCACTCCCATACTCTCACGTTCCCTGGGTGAATGAACAACTAGAAGCCCCAGAAAAGGCGAAGATCTCACACACTGTTTGTTAATCCACAAATCACCCAAACAACCCCAAATCTCTGTCCTCAGATGACAGTACCAATGTCTGCATGAGACAGTGTACAGCTCTTCCTATTTACATGAATACAGTTTCCTGTAAAATTCATTACAAAATACATGGTATGAAATATTGACTATTAAAAACATTTCATTAGAATCCTATGTTTCTAATTTCTCCACTAAAAATGGCTTCATACATTTTTCTTTCTCATTTCTAGAAATGAATGTGTAGATATTATCATTTGCTTTTAGTGTCTCATAAGGAGATCTTGTCAACAAATTTTCTAGTTAAAAAAGCATGAAATGGTCATGCATTGTTGATATTTATTTCTTCAGCTTTGAGAAAAGGCACTTAAAGACTGTGGCCATACAGTTCACAGCAGGGAGTGCACTCCCGAAAATTAATTTCATCAACTTAGAAATTAAACAAGTGGTCTGCAGAAATCTCAGAGAAGCAGTGCAGTGACAGAGCTAGAAAAGACATTTTCACACCTTATTATTTCTTGTTATAAATGAGAGAAAGAAGAGGGAATGGATATCAATGAAGCCAGCAGGGTCAGACCAGAGAATATTCAAAGCAAGCTTCTGTGGATAAGAATCTAACTCACAGTAACCTTGTTTATTTAAAAAATTTTCTGTTGAGCACAATAGTATCTCCCTGAGTTTGGTTTATTTGTGTCAGCTTTAAATAGCACAGAAAAAGTTAATGTACTCTAAATCAGCAGGGCACCAAAGATGTACCTTCTTTATATTTAAAATCACAAATTACTTCTTCTATCAGTACCCTGTTGCACCCACAAACACAAACAAAATGTGGGGCTAAGTCACCACATGTGTGAGAACAGAACTAGACAGCAGGGGGTCCCAAACCAACTGCAGATGCAGCACTGAGCCATCTTACCTCAATTGTGACAATAGGTTGAAGTTCTTCATACTTAATCTTCACAGCTTTAGCTGCTCTCCTGGAATGTTCCTGTGTGTCTGCAAGGACTGCACCAATGATGTGACCCACACAGGTGACCTACAGGCAAGATTGGGACCCACCATCACTTGGGGTGTGTGTTTGCAGTGAGGAGAGACTCATGATAATTCTCTTTATCTATTCCTTTTATGCAGTTTGTTCAGGCCAATCCATTAAAAATCAGCCCAGGGAAAATAAACACAAGCAAGTTTGGAGTGAGTGAGCCTGTCCCAGGGGGCTGCAGCTTAGAGAAGAATTGTGGAGATAACAGAGGAGAGGGGCACAGGGCAAAGGGATTTGGGCCTTATTGAATTTGGCACTAAATTAACTGCACAGGGGTCAATAGAAATCTATCTCTGTATAAGGTAGAGGACTTGACTGGACAGTATGAGAAATGTTATATCCTGAGCAGCATGACTGAAAAAGGCTACTTTTAGCTACATACCACATCCTTAGCGAAGACAGTCTCATCATTAGCGATGCCAGTGACATTACTGCCAGGAACATCCTTGGCAGAAACAAAACACACAAACCCAGGAACACTCTGAGCTTCAGATGCATCTACAGAACTAAGGAAAGAGGGAGAGACAGTGTTATTTCTCATTTTTTCTTTGTGTAAGTGATTATGAGATTCCAATACAAATTCAGGCCTGATTTCCTCGAGTTTGGCTATGCCACGTGAATATCATGTGAGACTGACAGCATAACATAGGAGACTAAAATAATTTGGGATCTATAAGAAAATTTTAATCCTGACTGTGAGACTGACCACCACCCTGCTTCTTTGGACTATGTCATACATCTTTTCCCCAAGACATATCTGAACTTGATCCAGTTGCCACATGTACTAAAGATCCTTTGATAACAAGTTGGTGTTAGTGATGCTGTGCCTCCACTGTCTTCTTAGCTGCCATGATTCTTGCCATTAGGGCAAGAATATGGATAAATGTGAAATTTTTGTGCAGACATGTATCATCTGCCATGGGTGAGTCAGGGAGAAATTGTTGAGGATCAATCATAAGGAAGCTTTAGGGTTTTTAAGAGGATGCAAAAGAAGTGATGGTCAAAAAGACAAAAACTTTCATGAAAGGCTTTCTTTGGTAATTAGCAAAAGAAGTATCTAACCAAAATGCTTGTCTGCTTCAATCATATATAGATTTAAAACTCAGTGACAAAATAACTAAAAAAAGGGCAATATAATTTAATTTTTAAATGGAGAACTTTGTAAAAATATATTACAAAAGACTTTCAGGATCCTTTTGCAATATTCTGTACATTGGCTTTACAGAGAAACAGTTGTGAATAGAAGTGCTGTGGCTTTGATTTTGCTGACTGGATGATTTATTGCCTTCTGTAAATTGCTGCAATTTTTTCAGCAACTTGTTTCAAATTCCTAAAACTTTGATATAAACTGCGCCCGAAAGCAGCTGTTTATATATCCCAGTGAGCCAGAGACCTTTAAAAAAGACATTAAATGTATGAATGAACTTTCCCACATGAACCCCTAGACAGCAGGAACTCAAAATGCTGTTTTTCTTTGGAAAGTTCTCTTTCCTGTGTTTCTGCAGCAGTAGCTCAGAAACAACCCCCTAACACTTTCCCTTAGTTACAAATGCAGAGGCAGCTGGTGTCTGATTTACACTTGGTGCTCAAAATCTGACTAGGATGAAGTGTCTTTCCCTTAGTTACAAATGCAGAGGCAGCTGGTGTCTGATTTACACTCAAAATCTGACTAGGATGAAGTGGAAGTTTCCAGAGTCAATATTTTGACTCTGCCAAAATCATAGGTTGATACTTTTGTCCCCTGATTGAATATTCCTCTACAGAATGCTACAGGCTCCCAGCCTGAAATATGTGTACAAAACATAAATGCAGGAGCAATGTGTACAGCAGCTTTTAGAAAACACTGCATGTTGTGGTCACAAGCATGGATGGGATGCCTTCTCTATCTCCCCATCTGCCCTGGTGGTAGTAACACCACTTAAATGTCTGCATTGCACATTGCAACACCTAAAAATTAACTGTGATGAACAGAGCAGTTTCTTTCATAACCTGGGAGTCAATTACTGCATCTGTGCATCCCTGACCACCATGCTGCCCATGCCACAATGGGAAAGCTCTGCACAGGAAGCCTAACTAGGCAGGAAGTACTGCCTAAGGAATGCACAGCACATTTCAGGGCTGTTGAGGATGACACAAGCCAGTGTAACACAGAGTGTCCCACATCAAAGCAGCTGAGGGCAGAAGAGAGCCTGCAGAACCACCACCATATAAACAAATTTAGGGTTTGTGGGGGCAGCCAGCCTGCAATATGACAGCATTAAAATTCATATGAGAATGTAGATGGCATTACGTGCCAGGATTGGCCTTTAGGCGTTGGTTATTCACTATTGTTCTAAATTAGGTACCAGTCATGCCCTGGATGGACAAGATGCTTTCTGAGACAGTTGCACTTCCAAATACTGACTTGTCCACCTTGCTATAGCCAAGCACAAACAGGGCTACACCTCACAGCTGATGCAAATTCACAAATGACTTTTGTGCACAGGGCTTGATCAGAGCCAGGGCAGGCAAGCACCGTGCAAGGCAAAACCCAGTGCCCACAGCTGACTCACCAGCAGGAGAGCTGGTAGAATTGCATCTTACAACCTAATTTTTCAGGCAGATAGAAGGAGAATCATCAAGCTGCATGCTGCAGTTAGTGATTAAAATGACATCCCAACCTCTGTGGTGCTCTCCTACCCTGCTCTTTTTTAATCCTGTATGCCTGAGTATAAGAGATGGGAAATACAAAAAAGTTTGGCCTAGGCTGAGGGCTTTTGTGCTTCAGCAAAGCCCAAAGTTTGGTGTTGGCTCCTTCACATTCCCACTGAGGCAGACTTGCAAGGCAGCTGTCACACACACACAGAGCTCGCCTCCATGTAACAATGTGCAAAGAACTGGAGCTTTACACCTAAGCAAAACCTTTCCCTCACCCACACCCTGACAGATTGATGTTTTCCAAGCCACCAGGCACCGGATGCTTCCAACGTTTGGAACGGAGAAGCAGCACTTACAGGATCTTGGCGTGGGCCTTAGTGCTGGTCACCAGCGTCAGGTACAGCTCGTTCTCGTAGTGAGGGATGTCATCGCAGTACACAGCTTCTCCACTGGCTTGTTTGGCTGCTGAAACGTGCACCAGAGGCCTGCCCACCATATCTTCCACAGCCTGCCCCTTGGGCACTTCCTGGAGTAAAACACATGGCTAGCTACTGCTGGCTTGGGTGGAAGGGGATTGAAGCATTGATGGGAGAGCAAAGAGCGCTGTGAGACGTTCTAGAGAATGGGGAATGGGATGGGAGCTCAGTCCTGTGGGAAAGGAAGGTAAACAAGATGCCACAAGATGTGGCTACACAGAGGGGTGCTGTAGGGAATGAAGTGAAAGTAGTTTGGGCTTTGAAATTGCTATGGAAGGGAAGGGTTTGATTTCACATCCTGCAAAAGAAAGTTCAAGTACTGAAACTGGATTCTACTCTCAAAGGTGAAGAGAATGGGTCACTGACAGAGAAATAACAAAGAAGATACATCCCAAATGTGAAGCCTGAGAGATGCCAAGAAAGGCAGGCTATAACTGGGGAAAGCTGAAGGGGAATTTCAGTTTGGATATAGAGCTAGGTATAGGAGAAAAAGCAATTTTTATAAATCCCTCAGCCACAGAGAAAGCTTGGCCTCTCTTGGACAATAATAGGAAAGAACAGTATCCTAAAGTGAGGAAAGGATTGAGACCCAAATACAAGCTTCATGCATGGCATTATCAAAGTTTATGTGATGACCATACTTAGGGAGACAAGAAGATAAGAACCAGAGTTTGAGATACAGAAAAGCCTGCATTTATGTCATGCTGACACTGCTACTTACTTGGGAAAGCTGCTACTTACTTGGAAGAGCTGGGCATTTGCAATGGGATCTTTGTGAAACAGCTCTGTAGCACTGATGTAGTTTGAAGGGACAGGCTCACACCCAGTTTTCTGCCAGAGACATATTAAAGAAAATCACCTTCCCTTCCAACTCCTTTCTCACATTCCCTAGTAGTTCAGGATATTTTCCATTCTCCATCTCCCACTTAAGGTAATCCATAATCTACTGAGTTAAAGGCAAACGAGGCTCCGGCTCTGTGCCAAGAACAAACACAGAGCCACAAGATCACTTGTAATGCTGCGAACAGGAGAAGCGGAATCATCCTGTGAACCACAGAGCTACACCCTTCCACCACAAGGGGAGGGTGCCAGGAGGAAGCAAGTGGGAAGATACACAAGTCCCTGTTATGCAAGCAGTAGAACAGCTCTGGAGCTATTGCAGCACAGATTTTGTTATCAGGTGGACCTCTACTCAAATCTGAACTCCCCCGGTGCCTTCCCCAAGGCAGCACAAAGAGGTTCTCCTTCCCCAAATCTGCCTTCCCAAGGAGCACTCACAGTGCCACTCTTGCTCAGTTTCTGAAGGACTGTCAGGTAGAACTTGAAGAAGAAGCTGAGGGTGAGTGTGCGTCGGAAATCCACCATGCCCCCGGGAGCAGAAGGAGACAGATCCATCTCCCCCGACAGCAAGCGACAGGCATCCTGCAGCAGCTTCTCATTCCAGTCTCTGGAAGGGAACAGAGAGGACACAGAGACCTTCTTCAGACCTAAATTCACCAGGGCAGACTAACTCTTCTGACACAGAGTATGCTGAACTGGAAGGAGCCCATCAGGATCACAGAGTCCAGCTCCTGGCCTTGCACAGAACAGCCCAAGGGTCACACCGTGTGCCTGAGATTGTTGTCCAAATGCTTCTTCAGCTCTGTCAGGCTTGGTGCTCTGACCACTGCCCTGGGGAGCCTGTTCCAGTGCCCAACCACTCTCTGGGTAAAGAAACTTTTCCCCTGATATCCAAACTAAACATCCCCTGACACAGCTTCACGCTACTCCCATGAGCTGTCAAGCAACAGCCATCAGTTCTATCTGTTCATAGCACATGTGTGTGCTCTGCTGTCATCTTGGGCTTATGTTACCTCCCCTAAAGATATGGCAAAGATATTGCGTGATAAAAACCCTGACTTTTCTGTCCAATTTGAAACAAACACAGTTTTGTAGGTCATGAACACATCTAGCTGCTGTCCACTTCAACTGATGAGTGAATTTGGAAAGAAAATGTCTCTCTGAATGAGAGAATGGCGTGGATCTTTGAGGGTAAGGCATACTGGAGGAAGCAAGGCATTACACAAAACACACTGCTGCAGAAGCATAACTATACTTCTTCCCCTTTCTCTTTTGATGTACTTTTAGAGAGGATTTAGGATGTTTTAGATATTTAAATTGCTCCTGTAAAAATCTGCACTGTTCCATTAGACAATCTTTATCACAGAAAAATTCCTACCTGCCAGTGAGTTCCTTGCAAGTTTTCAGTGCCAGGACAGTGGTAGGAGCCATTCCTCCATAGCTCAGTTTTATCTCCTCCACTCTGCTTGTGCCGTCTTGGAACAGGACTCTCAACCCACAGGTGACAATAGCAATGTCATCCTCACGACGGGAAGCCTGCTTGAAAGCTGAGAAGTATTCACCCTGAAAAACAGGAAAATATTTCTTTATCCTCTACCTTGGCATGCTTTGGAGTGTAAATGTGGACAGGCTGTTTACCTATCTCTATGTGCATGAGTTATTCCAGGGAACAGTATCTGGTTGATTCATTGTGCAGGGCCAAGCAGGACATGTTTGTTCAGGCAGCACTGTTTATTTTCACATAATTCAGTGATTAATTCTAATGTATCAGTTCAGTGGTTGTTACCAAGCCTAGGACTGTGGGGGGAAACAAGCTTTGACAGAGATCTGCTCGTGCCTGTCACATTTTTCCATTATTAAGAGGAAGAACCAAGACAGATTGTTTGTGCATAAACAAAATTACAGTTTCTCAACAAGTTTTTCTTCCTCCCAGGCTGATAAGCTGGAAGTCTAATCAGTAAAACCCATATCCTAAACCCCTTCCCTTCAGAAGTCTTTGAAATCTGCAAGAGCTGAAATCAGCAATCACAAATGTCTCTCAGTTCTAGAGTAGACCAGAATAATTAAGTATTAATAATTCAGTCTATTCAGTAGACCAGAATAATTAATAAAAGAAAATTTAATCTGTTACAGAAAATAGAATTCTCAGTTACTATCCTGGTCTCTACAAGAATTTCCTTGCTCTGTGAATGCACCAGCAACTGCAGTGCACAAAACTCAGCAGCTCCCTTATAAAGAGTGGCTGTAAATATGAGATTAACACCCTACCAGGATGCACCATGCAATGGTGACACCCTGGAGCCACAGCATGGCCAGCCCTCTTGCCTGTACTGCAGGTGAGGACAAATTGCTGTTCAGGCACCCTGCAGACTAAGAGAGGAATCAGAGCTGATGTTTGCACTGCCCTTCTGGAGAGTTTTCTGACAAGTTTCTGCTCTCCAAGTGACTCCACACAGCATAGCAGTCTGCTTCATTAATTACCTCTAATCTGAAGTGGACAGCAATTCTTTCATTATTGAATAGAACAATTTCTCTCCTCTTGACAATGACAACAGTTTCACAAGAGGCCCATTTTGTGCATCAAGGGCTTGTTACTGGAGATATATCTGAAGGGTGTGCTTCATTTCCTGAATTCAAATAATTACTCAGCAGCCAGCAGATAATAGCAGAGGAGCATCAATAGCATCCTTCCAGTGAGGACATTCTGCCACTCTGCTTGTTAAAACAATTAGCTTTCAAAGAGGAGAAAAAGCAGCCTCCTCTCTTACTGTAATCAATAGATTTCCAATAACATGATTGCAACAAGAGGGCAATATTGCCTTCACTCCTCACAGGACACCTTAATTTTCTTCATTCAGAGTCCTGTGGGAGGAAAGGCACTCGTGACCTTTCCTCACTTGGAGTGTAGGTAAGTGAGCCATCACATCACATGCCTGCCTGGGTCTCTTGGCAAACAACAGAGCATGTTAATTCTTTCTGCTCTTTGACCAGTCTTACCCTTGGTGTGATAAGTTACATGAATGCAAGGCACAACATCAGTTTCAAACAAAAATAAACCAAAAAGTTCAATCTAGCTGTGTGCTGAAACAGCCCTGCTTTCATTCACAAGGAAATCACAGTTGCAGAAAACTTTGCCTGCTACATGCCAGCACCTTCAGACATGCCCTGAAGAACTTCACCCTCCTTATTTGTGAGCAAAGATCAGCCAAGAAACCATGAAACTGAGAGTTCAGAAGTTGGTTTAGTTTTTCAGATCAATAAACTGTATAGGGCTGAAGCCACTGCCCCTGCTTGTAAGCATTTGTTTGTTTTGTGAAATTGCCATGAGACTGCCATATGGGTGGAGGAATACAGTGTTTTCCATTGGCAACCTCAACCATGGTTTTCATTTTGGCAAAAAGTGATGTTTTTATCACAAGACCAAAGAATGATTGCCCAGAAATAGATGAAAAACCACCATAAATAAAATAATTTAGTTCCTTTAGTAGTTAAATAGAAAAAATTGAGAGGAGAGACAAGGCATTTATTAGTTCTCTCCCATAATACAATGGCACTTGAAGTAAATCAGTGTTTTCCATTTATAAAGAAAATGCATCACCACACTGCAAATCCTTGCATCTTATGACTAGGGGTCACAAGCCCTGAGAAGGTAAATACCTTCACAAGCATAAAATTACAGTCTGATATTCTCAGTCTAAATGAAAAAGCAGAGTTTTATTTCTTAGACGCTGAATCAATTGTGGTTTATGCTGCTACTGCTGACAACCTCTCATTGCTCCCTTCAAAGCAAGTTGTGCAGCCTCACTGGAAGCCCACATAGCCAAAATGCCCTAATAGCCAGTTCTTGTGGTTTACATCTTGCAAGACAAGAATGCAGAAGCTGAACTTTCCTTTTATCCATACTGACTCTTCCCCATTTCATTTCTCGTATCAGCTCACAGAAATTAAGCAGGAATCTTTGGCACATTAACTTCATTCTGCATCAGAAATTGCTAAAACCTTTTCTGTTCTGCTTTTCCAGAAGAACTTCTACCTCTGGGAACATCATTTTGACACTTTTCATCATTACCAAATGCACTCAAAAAGCTTCAGATAATCAAGTGAAGTTTCTCTTCATTGCACTAGGAAAATTCTTGGGCTTGCCATATTTTATCATTGAGCCCTGCTCCCATTGCTTGTGAAGAATAGTGTGCTGCTGAATTTTCTCCAAATAATTTGCTTCCTCGTCCACTTGGGACCACATAAGCATTTGGGAGTTGGTCAGGAAAAAGGTGCTTAACTTTGAAAACAACACTTAAATAACAGCATTTTAGCTCCACAGACAGTGAAGTTTTTTCTTACAAACTTACCTTTTTGCTGTAGGGTATTTCAACTGAGAGAAGTATTTCTTCAGGCTTAACTATTGTCTTTCTGTAGCCAGTGAAAAACTTCTCATCCATGGTGACCGTCCTTTTGCCCTCTGTAGAGCAAAGGGACATCAATGGTGAATAAATGAAAGTAAGTGTGGAAAAGCCTTCAAACCACATAAATCACTCTTTATATGATATCTGATTTCATTTTTCCACTCTCTTTCACCAAATCAGGAAAATCTTTCTCAGATTTCTTTTGGTATTTATGGAATCTATAACTGCTTCTACCTACATATTAAATTTCCTTTGTACATGACCTGATAAAAGAGACCTCCTTCTTTAACTAATTAAACCTTAGCCTCCAGGTGAGCCAGTTTCCAACACTCTAATTAAATTCCCCTCTTTCTCCTTTCCATAACCTGCACACAAACCCAGTCCACTGACTGGACAGTTCACTTACTTCAAGTATACTACTTCAAAAAAAAAAAAAATTTCTTAAAACCAAATAAAAACTGAGATGCTTGGCTTTATAGAAAAAAAAAATCCCAAGTTTCAGTCTTTATCTGAATAAGCCAGAAGGATTAAAGTAAGATAGTGACAGACAATATTTAATGCCTATTATTTTTCATTAGTACACATCTTCAACCAGCTCTTCACAAGGATGTGTCTGTAAGTATACACACAGTACCAGAGATTCCACCTGGCACAGAAGTTCAGCATTTTGTAGGAAGCCAACCTTAGGTCTAGCTTTAGGACTTTTGCCTCAAAGAGTGTGAAAACACAGAAGACTCAGACTAATAATGTTAATTTCCACTTTCAAGTTCTGGCCTGACCTATCAACCCATGGCAGAGGGCTGCTGACTACCCCACTCCCCTCAGTGCCACAAGGAAATATAATAACTTACCTTTTGATACCAAAGTCAGTTTGCTGCCACTTGCCATTAACACAGGATTTAAGTCAGAAATTGGGCTTGCTGTCATTATGTTCCCACCAATAGCCTAGAGTGAAAATAATGCATCAGATAATTATTAAAAATCTAAGCAATTTCTGGCCTTTAATTAATTGGGAAAACCCAAGCCCCACGAAATCAGATGCTGTCTCAGACAATATTAACATTTGCCTGAAACAGATTTAGAATAGTGTTTTGTTAATGCATCAAGACTACCTTATGCTCAAACCTCATATGCACAACCATGCCAAAATTCAATCACTGTACCTGCTGTTAAGGGAGGAGCCATGAAACTAAAAAGAGTCTTTTCAGTAACAACCAGGACCCAAGAGTTTTGGCTGCAAAACAAATGCACGGCACAGTGTCTCGTGGAACAAAAGTTCTTGTTTGGTAGGTTGGTTTAGCTGCTTGCCTGGTAGTTTTTTGTTGGAGCACACAGAGTTTGAACACACCTTCCCCTTTAAAACCAGAGGAAAATTTGCCAGCTCTGATACATTAACTCTGTGACTAGTTGCCATGGCAATATATACACACCTGCTTCTTTGAAGCTTGTCCAGCCTTTTTTGTTCAATTAGTCAAATCTCACTACAGTTTCCCCCGCTTGGTGATAACAGCAGTGGAAGACCTGGAGAACTGCCATGTTTCCCTCTCTTGCTAGATGTGTGACATCAGTGCAGTACAGACACCAGCTGAGACCCCACCACTTTCTGGGCTTGATATTTTTGTGTGCCAGTTTCTTTCCCAAGGTTTGCAAACGTTCCCCTGCGAGATGCCAAGGGCACACCAACAGTGCTTGAGGCAGGGCAGCTCCTCAGACTGAGCTTTCAACTGCTGCCCCTGGTGCTCCTGAGTCACTTACAGCAACATTCCTGATCTGAGGCCCTGCAAACCAGCGCAGCTGCTCCAGGACAGCCTGGAAGATCTCTGTTTTGTACGGAGGAAGGTCTGCCACTGCTTTCCTCATCACCTCCTCTACTGACTTCAGGGTACAGGCAGCGCCGATGGTGACCCCTGTAAACAAACAAAGGAAAAGAAATGTTGTTTTCCAAAATTTTGAGGTACATAAGGACAGTTACTGTGTCTGCAAAGCTTAGATGTCCTGAGTTCAGTTAGACCTTCAGTTACACCAGACTATTTAGAATGCACTGCATGTAAACATCACATCCTCAGAACAAAATCCACCTTTAAACCACAGCTCATGCTGGTGTTGTCTCCCACATGACAGTAACACACCACCCTTTTGCAGCAGTGTATTATTAACAACATTGGCCTCCTTTAGGTATTAGCTTGTCCTTTTAGAAGTGAACTCCAACTCCTTTCCAGTTTCCACACTTTAAATATCCTACCAGACACTGGGCCACATGCATTAAATTGTCCCAGGTACTTCTATTTGTAAGGTTAACCCATTTCCATCACAAAGCAAAAGGCAAGGAATTATAGAATTGTTAAGGTTGGAAAAAACCTCCAGAGATCACTGAGTCCAGCCTCTGACTGAGCACCACCACATCAGCTAAACCACAGCAGCATAAGTCACATCCAGTCATTTCTGGAACACTTCCAGGGGTGGTGACTCCACTACCTCCATGGGCAGCCCAGCCCAGTGCTAGACCATGCTTTCAAGTGAAGAAATTCTTCCTGATGTCAATCTGAATATCTCCTGGCAGAGTTTGAGGCAGTTTCCTCTTGTCCTGTCACTTGTTATGTGGGAGAAGAGACTGACACCCACCTTGCTACACCCTCCTTTCAGGGAATTGTAGAAAGTGATAAGGTCACCCCTGAACTTCCTTTTCTCTGGGCTAAACATCCCCAGCACACTTTTCTACATATCACTTACTTGATTTCCTGTGGGAAAATGGGAAGTGTAACCTATACAGAAAACAATCTTTAATCTGTGGATTTTCTTTCACACTCTTTTTATTATTCCATGGAGTCCCCACTCACCTCACAGGTGTTCTGCCTCTTTTTTGCTCACCTGTTTCAGTGTGCTGAACAGCATTCATTTCAGGGATCCATGCTGGTGCTATTATCACTGGATACAGGAGGTTCTTTAACCTCATCTCAATACCTTAAGGAAAAGACACTGTTTGGTACTTGTGTGACATGGCTACTGCTGTACATAATCCTTCAAGAAAGGAAAATTAATACAATAACCCCTACATCATTTAGTAGTTATTTCATGAACCAATTGCTCAAGACAACAGAATTACTAAGTATGTCTGAACTCTCCTCCTCAGGACTTATGTTTGCAAAAGTATCTATTTGGTGTGAGAAGGCAGTAAGATTTCAAGTCTTGAGAGTTTTCTCACTGAAAAGTCCTTCAAAATGCAGCTTTCACAACTGAATTAATTTGATTATAGGGACATTTCATGCTGTGTCATTCCCCTCTTCTCAAAATTTCACAAAATAGCACAAAGGCTCAGAGATCTGGATTTTTTTTTCACCTGACACAGCAAAGACATTCACTGTGAGATTAATCTACCTGAGAAGAAAATCTGTTCCTACATACAACCTGAAAATAAATAGCTTTTTAAAAGCAATGACATGAAAGAGGCTTCCATTTGCACTGTTCTCACAAAATACTTAATGGAAGGTTTTCCAACAGTTCATAATAAGCATCAGCTCTTTCTCTTACCCACTTCTGTGTTCCCCACAACAAGTTTGGCATTGGGGTACTGGGATTTGAGTGCCACCAGTTCATTGAGAGTTGTGGGCTGGATCCACATCACACGCTCGCCTTTGAAACACATCTGCTTCTGCTGTTTGTTACTCTGAGTCTGCAGAAGGGAATTCAGATAGAGCTCAGCCCCTACATCGCGCCAAGAATCCCTGCTCACATGCTGCCCATACCTGTGCCACACTGGGCTCCATCTCAGCCAAGTTACTGACAGGGGGGCTGGGATAACCACACTGCTGTTGGCCGTTTGCCATTCCCCATCCTTCTGCTAGCAGTGATGAAAGTCTTTCTCTTGCTGACAGAAGTTCTCCCTTCCTGGTACTGCCAGGTACATCCTGCTGCCACACCTCCCTAGCAAGATCTGTGCCAGCAAGCTCCATTTGACCAAGGCTCTGGCACATGCCCATGGCTCCAGTTGCTTCAATGGGTTTTCCATTCCCATCTCAATCCCAAAAATGTCAGTCTTTAGTACAAATGACTTGCAATTAACCTGCTAGGCCAGGTTCTGATTCCATTTTAACTACTTCACCCAGCGACTAAAGAAAACATGGGACCAACCCTTGGGCAGGAGAACATCTTGGAGAAGAAACAGAGGAGCCCTATCTCAAGCTGAATCCATCTTATGCTATGGTCTAAGAGAACCTACTCATGCTGCAGCTCATGACACATTTGAGCTGGGTACAGCAGCAGAATTAATGATTGAATTTCAGTTGTTAAATGTGAAGGAAGCTGTAAATGCGTCATGTGCTGGACTAGATTCCTGGCTGGGACACACTGCTTAGGGGGGAGGATCCCTGAAAAAGAAGGAATGAAACATGGAGAGAAACTAATCTCACCTAACTTTTAATGTCATTGTGAGCCAACCAACTTTTACTCCTGCTATGGTGAGTTTTATGAAAAGACAACTGTTTGAGATATGTATTCAGCTACACCCTGTAGTGGTTTTGCTTTGTTAATTTGAGATTTGATGGTTAATGTATTAATGAGTGAGGTGGGTTTAGTGTTGATTAATTATTAGTCTACTTTTTTTTTTTTTGGGAGGTAGGATGAGGAGAAAGGTAAAGTAGGTTTAAAATGCTAAAAGGAAAGTTTATTAATAGTAACTAAAAAGAAAGAGTAATAAGAATTAGAATAAAACCTTTAGGACACTTCTCTTCCCCCCATAATCTTTTCTTTCCCAATGACAATGTAAAGAAACAAAACCTAAAATTTCAGTTTACTACTTCTAAAATAGTCTTTCTTTTCTTTACTTAGGCAGAGAAGTCTTTCTTGTTAATGCTATGGAGACTTCTCTACAAGAAAACAGTTTTCTTGTGGTTCTCTCTATGAATAGCAACTGCCTGGAGAAATCTGCAATTGTGAAATTTTTCTCATTTTCTACAAGTTTTTCTCACAGTTGTGTTATGGGCCATGTCAACTTAATGGGGTACTGTTTTGAAGATGAGTTATTTAAAGGCAAAAGTTCTCATTATTTACTCCTGAAATTATTTTCTTCTTAAGGGCACAAGATCTTTATTACTTTTTTCTCTTTCTCTGTTTCAACTTTTCATAGGATTACAGTTACTTTAACATTTGCTTACTTTAGTATGGAGGCCTTTGCTCGATATCTACAATTTGAATACTGAATACAATTTTATGTGTTATAGGAAAAAAGAGTCTTTCTTCATATCTTTACAAGAGGATTTCAACCTAAAACGAAAGGTATCTCCTCATTTCTCCTATCTGGGATTGCTTCTTCATTGACTTTGGTGTCTTCATGTTGTTGGTTGGACTCGATGATCTTTAAGGTCTCTTCCAGCCTGGTCATTCTGTGAATTCCTTTACATTCTCTGCATTTTTGTTCCTGCTCTCACTCAAGGGAGGATTGAAGCATTGAAGGAGTTAATATTTCGTTCAGGGCTTGTAGATGTTACCTGACCCCAGCCTGGCTAGTAGTTTGTGGTGGGAGCTGCAGCCGGCTGGGCTGATGGCCTCTCCCCACCCTGCCGGCGGTTGTGGGTGAATATTCATGGTGGGGGAATCTTGGCTGAGCCAGCCTGGCCCGGGGCAGCTCTTAGGGCCGGTAGGTCCGGCTCGGCCCCGCTCAGGAGCAGCAAAATGTCAGAAATGGCAGCCAGGCCCAACATCGGCCTTGCGGCCTCTCCTCCCCTACCCAAAAACCAGATGGGGGAAGACACCCCTGAAAAAGGGTCCAGGTCTACAGCAAAAACCACCCAAGCCTTGTTACCTCTATCAACCAGAAAAGAAAGAAAAATATCCTGAGTTTCTTTCATCTTTAACATGTGTTTTTTACAAAAACACATAAACTTTCCAGTAGCTAAAAAGTTTACATCACTTCCATGAATGCCTCCAATACAAAACCACCACAAGTTCCTACTTCTCTTCCTACACTTATAAAGGGAACTCAGGGAGACAAACTCAGATATATCTGTATTTGATGCAGAAGTTCACATTTGACCTAGTAAATTGACATTTGGGTTTTAGCTTCTGTTCCACCCCCAGACAGACAGTGACTGGGAAGGAAGGCAACCCAAGAAGAGAGACATATGGTGAGAACCAGAAAAAAAGCCAGACTGCTGGAGCAGGCACCTGGCCTGCATATTTCTCCTAAACCATCCTGGCTCAAACGCCTTCTGTTTTATAAAACAGGGAAGGATTCATGCCCATGCATTTTCATTCATTAGCAGCCATTTTTGCCCTGCCATTTCCTCAGCACAGAGTCACTCAAACCTTGTGCAGAGCAACTAAACCAACAAATCACTGCTATTTCTTTCTGAATGAACTCACCATTAATTCTGGTGGGAAGATTGGCTCCTGTGTGGGATCCAGTGGCTGGAACTCAGAAGAATTGAACAGGCTGGAGGATGTCATTTTCTGTGACAGAGAAAATGCAAATGGCTAATGACTGAGGAGAAAGCTCTCCACATATAACCACAACTCATTCCTCTTTCAACTCAAATCCCTCTTACTGTTTCCTAGAGCAAAATATGGCAAACACAGCAAAATGATGCCACCTGATTCAGCATTTAAGGTCCTCCAGTTATATTTTTCTGATTCCCCTGCATGTCTTGTCAGATCCCTCAACCCTGAGCACACTAATACGTTTTAGTAAATCAAAAGTGACATCCCTTTCACATTGGCATGTTAAATCATGTCAAATATACCTTTTCTGAGGTATACTCTTCTGATCATAAAATACAAATTAGTCTAAATTGCTTTGCATAGATATTGCTAAAATAAAAGCATTGGGCTTGGGCATACAACAAGCCAGATCTAAGACTTTAAAACATCAGAAATAAAGGGAAAAGTACTAGTTGAGAGGCACCTTACCACACTATCTTCTTTTGCATTCATGCAGCAGCCTGGACCATTGGCTTTTCCTCCACAGCAGCCCCCATTCTGAAGAAGAAAAAAGCACACTCCAGCTATTCGAAACATAATCAGAACATTGCAACTTTCACAGAACATAGTCCTCCCCTTTTATCAATCCCCAGATTTCAGAAGTTTGCAGTCACATTTTCCATTAATAAACTGCTTGAGAGAAAGGACTCCAAGTAGTCTCAATTTTTGGAATATTCCATGCAACACTGGATGCTTCCTAAACACCAATCCCCAGAAATTCCCTGGAAATTTCTGGCAATGAATTTCATTATGTTCTCTGCTTCCTAAACTTATTTTATAGTCACACTACCTTAAGCACCAATTTCTTCTTTCTATTCCTTCATTTGTTTTTACCTACACTGATACATGCAATGTGATTAACTTTTTTCCCCTCCAGATATTTCAAAAGATTCCAATTGTTCAATTTTGGAACAGAGAGGAAATTGCTTCATTCATCACTGGACAGCAAAGTTTGGAAAAGATCACAGTGGGGAATTCAGACCTTTTGTCACAGAAAGATGTATCACTTCAGTGCACCAGAAGCTGGTAACACATTGCTTACAGTTGTCACCATGCTATTTGACAGAAGGGTTGCTCCTGGTAGACTCTGTCTTACATCATCACTGTTTTAAAACCCACACCATGATGGCCATTCATTGGGACACATACAGTCCCAGCATTTTCCAAGAGATAGACAACAAAAACAGGTCAGAGAGTTCTGAGTATCTGCCCCACAGCAGAGCCAGAGAGGTGACTAACACATCAAAGCTCCAATGCTATATTAAAAATTGAGGTTATGGGTCTTAACATTCAGCTTACCACGGTATTTTCCTTCCCACTACGACAGCATCCAGTGCCATTGGCAACTCTGCCACAGCAATTCATGTCCTGTGAGAACAAAAACTGTTCTGAGAAAAAATGTGCAGATTCCAAGGAAATTAAGTAGGTTTGATCCCCTTTTGAGAGAAATATCCAAAGCAGAAGGAAGGTGCCAACCACATAGTTGTTTGTCTTGCCAATGGTAGGCAATATCCTGCAGTGTCATGCCCACTGTGCTGATAAACCTTTTGTTCTGGGTTGGAACTATTCTGACCATTCAACAATTAGCTCTGGAGCCATGAGGAGATACCCAGAGAAGGCTGAAAGTACATATAATACAATACCACTAAGTATTGTATATACAATACAATATATACAATACCAATACTCCACCACAGAGACCATCTGCCTTTGTTTTTGATCTGACTCCTGTTAGTTTCATTTCTTGAAATGATCTTTTACTGGGAGAGGCAGGAAATAGCAGATGCCTCTTCACATTCCACCTCTAATCACAATTCTGTTGATCTCTATCAGAGATCATACCACTGTTTGTGCTATGTAGAGTTCCTTCCTCTCCCTGGCATCTCCTTTACATGCTGAAGTGCACTCAGTGCTTCCCAGTATGGAAGTCAGATTGCCACAGATGTGATCCTTGTTCCAGTTCTCTGAATCCTCTTCTGTTCTGCAATACCCTGTTAGAGGTGAGGGGAGCAGAACTGCACAGAGTACTCAAGTGTAGGAAGAGCCATGGCACTGTTTTCTGTTTAGTATCCCATTCTATTCTCCAGTCTCTCAGGTTCACAAAATCCTTCAGAAATTCCTCAAAGCCAATTCCTGCCTTCACTGCTCAAACTTTATATCTGTTAGCTTATTTTCTCATATCCTTACTTACATTCTTTTAAGCCACATTTAGGGATAGGTGCAACAGCCTTCCTTCCTACCACAGGTCCCAACACAACTCCACAACAGTGACCTCCCTCCACTGCAAAAATATGGCATTTTTACTCCACTGCCAATCTTTCATACCTTTACCAATCTTTCATACCTACAGAGATCTTCTCTCTTAACCCTTATTATCTTTAAAAACCTTTGGTGAGACACTGTGGAAAGCCTGTTGGAAATCCAAGTAGGCTTTTATCAACTGGGGTTATCAACCATTTGTAATGGATCTCACTCCTGCTTGCATTCTCATTTGTTGACTGCAGTTCTGGATAATAAAATGAAATTAATGAGCATCACTGCAAATTCTTTCCTTTTGATGTTTAATACCAGTGTAGACCCACGAGTGGCTGACAATCACTGAAGTACATAATGATCTACTCCTCTTCACAGCCTCCAGCACTCTTTCAGGTACAAAGGGACTAGAGAAAATTCATGGCAAAGCTTCATACTGCACCCAAACCAGCAGAAGACTTCTGGGCAAGAGCTATAAAATGGTGACTTCCAACTTCTTTCCAGAGCTATTCCTGCTGTGCAACTGATCTTTCAAAAATGCAGATTCCTCCACAGCATGTCCCTACCAGTGCATCACACCTTCACATGTTGTTCACACCAGGATCAGCTGCAAGCTGTATTATGCAGAGAGGTTGTGCAACTGATCTTTCAAAAATGCAGATTCCTCCACAGCATGTCCCTACCAGTGCATCACACCTTCACACGTTGTCCACACCAGCTGCAAGCTGTATTATGCAGAGAGAGTGAGTTTTTCTGAGACTTACAGAAAAGAGTTACAGAGTCTGATTACCTGTGATCCAAAAAAGGAGCATCAGATGGATCTTATTAAGGTGTCCCCAGCAAGCGGAGAGAGTAAAGGGTTTACTCTATCTGAATTATTAACACATGAATCACATAAACAGAGGTCAAGAGTTGCAGCTGGGTTGTAGGAGCATATTTATTTCCTTCCTCTTCATTTGAGTTAATGACATGTTTCAGTAAGAGAGAGAAATACAGTCAACTTTCCAGTTTTTTTTAAAACATCATCTAAAGCCACTTACTTTAGCAAATGTCCTGTATCCTTCCAGAATGGGTCTGTAGCCTGTACACCGACACAAGTTCCCTGCATTGCCAGAGCAAAAGGATAAGGATTTAGGGTCACCTGGCTAAAAACTTCTCTTCTTTTAAGACATTCTATTGTTTCTCACAAAAGCTTGTCAAATCTTGATATAGCTAATGAAAAAAAATGGGAGGAGGAAAATTTCATTAGGAACCTTGCAACAACCCTACCATTCTTTTTGTTGAAATTTAAACTAAAATTTAGTACAAATTGAAATCTGTCTTATTCAGTATTCATTTATCTCAATTGTGTGAGTCTTATCAGTATACCAACTAGTCTGTCTCCTGATTTACACAGAGATTGCTTTCTCCTGCATCATCATTCCTCTCAGATCACTGCTGGAAGCACAGTAATGACTCTAACCTCAGCAACAACAGCAGCCTCTCACAGGATTTACACTGTTGGGCTCTGCCCCACTCCATCACTGCATGTTGCTGTCTCGGTCCTTGATTTGAGGACATGTTCTCTGTCACCTCTGCAGGCTCTTGTGACAGCATGAATAAACAAGGACACTTCCATGCCACTCAAGAACAGGCCATCTTTTGGTCTGTTGTTAATATTAGTGTGCTTCTAATCCCAGACTGAGGCCACTTGCCCCTGCTTATGAACTATGATCTTCACTCCATAGCACCTGGCTGGTCTACAAGTGAAAAAGCTACTTCTTAACCTCACAACCATCAGCTATTTTTAAAAAAATACATTAAATAATGGTGCACCTCCATCCCACGGGGTGAAGCAGAATTAAATAAAGCAGAACAGGTTGCACCCCTGTAGGGCTGTGAATATTACCTTGGAAAGCATCTTCAATGTCCTCCATGTGGGGCTCGGGGTTGTTCCGAAGCAATGTGTACATGGACATGACAATGCCTGGAGTGCAAAAGCCACACTGGGACCCATGGCTTTTTGCTATTCTCTCCTGAGATAAGGTAAAAACAATAATTAGCCCATAATATCAAGGTGAGTTCACTGCTGTGCTTGTTTCTATTACACTCCTGTTAAAAGCAAAACCCAGTATCAAAGAGGAACTAAGATTATGATCAGATGTTCTCTGATCAATTAATCTATGAGACAGCCTTCAAAGAGGAGAGCAGCTTGAAAAGTTTGCACCTAGGCTTTGAACTCAAAATGTGACTGAGGGCTACTAGAAAATTCCAAGGAGATCAGGAATTCTTCAGATTTTCCCTGCTAGCAAGGTTTGGGTTACCTGCCTAGACCTGAATTTGAATTTCAAAACTTAGCTGTCAGAATGTTCAGGTATGGGAAGAGAAAAGAAGACAAACAGGCCAGACTGCCTGCCATCCATTCATGCACATCAAAGTTATTTTTCACTTTGTTGTTTACTCCCTCAGACACTGGCACAAGTCCTACCCACTGTGCAAACTGAGATGAAGCACAGTTTACCTTAAGGGAGCAGGTCTCTGACAAAGAGAGGCAAGGCTGCATTGTAACACCCTGCTAGAAGAGCAAGGATGCACATTCCTGTCCCTCCTTCTCACCAAGAATATTTTGAGACTCCAGCAACATCAATGAACCAAAATTTATTTCACTACTGCAGGGAAGGTTCCTAACTATGCAAGATCAGAAACCAAAGTAATTTGTGGAAGGCCATGGGAGAGCCCAAACCTATCCCAGATTTCCTAGCTCCAGGTCATTAGATTGGCTTTCCTCACAACATCAGTCTTCCCAGGCCAGGATGTGGACCAAATACAGCCATGCAGCCCAAGGACAAAAGCATTGGCAATTCAGCCAGGATAGCATGAGTTAACCTCTCAGGGGCAGAACAGAGCTGTAGCATTATCTCACGAGTTTGATTCTGTCACTTAGCCATTCTTGCAAGTATGGATTGCTCATGTGGAGAGTCAGCCTCATGGCTTTAGCATTATGGTGGAGGTCCCAGTGTCCTGGAACAGGTTTAATCAGCACAAGAAAACATGCATAGAGGGTTTTAAAGTTATCAGCATTAATAGCTTACCTGGGCTGGGTGCAGCCTGGATTTTGTGTTTCCTATGCCTTCAACAGTAGTTACAGCCACGTGATGCAGGGCACAGACAGGGAAGAGACAAGCATTGGCAGTATGGTGGCTAAAACACTGTATTAAGGTAATTTCATTTAACAGTGCTGCTGAGCAAAGGAAAAATGGAACAGGAACAGTGAAGAGTACTCAGAAGCTACAGCAGTGAACACAACAGGAGCACTTAAGTAGATGTGATACAACAACTAATTACAAGCCAAATTCTACAGCACGCAGTCACCCAAAGTTCTAATCAATTTCCCTTGCAGTTTGATCAGGGCATACACCATAGCATTTCACCTAGACAGAGCAACTTTAAACATCCTTGTTGCACATTAAGATACAGAACCCATATAAGTAATTTATAGGAGCAGACTACAAATACCAAGATGTTGTGCGGCTGGACACTTGCAAAGTTACATAAGAGACTGGAGTTCTCAGCCTTTTAGCTAGAAAGCTGTTTCTAGACGGTAAACATGGGAAAAAAAAAGTCTAGACTGAAGGTAAAAGAACTAGCTATTTTATCCCATTTCTATCAAGACAGAATAATGACCCTAAAGATATTTTGATCATGGCCTTGCTATTAAGCAGAACCACTCAGGGGATCCAGGTTCTAGTATCTCCAAGCATTATTCCAAATACGTTCAAGATTTCAGTGCTTTCTGTTCCCCACAGTAAAACTAAACTGAGGCCTGGTTCTGTCTCATCCTCTCTTTGCATTCCTCTTTGTTTTTATTCCAGTTTTTCCCCTTTCAATTAATTAAAGTGAGAACAGAAGGAAATTTTGTCTCAGGAAATAATTCTGAAGGTTACAGTACAAGTAGAGAAAAAAGTTAATATCTGCTGGCATACAGAAATGAGATTGTCATAATACAATAACAATAAAGATTTTATCACAATAATCATTATATGGTTTCTTACAGGAAAAAGTCACATTAGAATCAGTGCAGATATTGCAGGGCACAAAGAAATAGTTCCTTATAAACATTGTGCAATGCTTTAAGAAAAATACTTTCTTATCTTGGCCTTCTGAGCTTATGTTCTGAAAGTGACAAATTATGTTTTGGCAGAAGCATTAATTATATAACTTTTCTTTTTTAAAATAGTACCATGTCTGGTATGTCAGGAACCTGGATCTGTCCCCATTTTATTTCTCTGTTGCAGAGTTCAGATTGCAAAGGATACAGGATTTTCTTCCGAAAGGGATCATATTTGGATATCATAACAGTGCAAGCACCACATCCACCTTCTCCACAGCCTAGTTTGGTTCCACACAGGCCCACTGAGAGAACAGGAATTAAGGAAAACACGAAAAGTGTTGGCAGAAACTTGTTCAAGTCATCAACAAAGGCTGAGCAGCAAGTTCTTGCTGGAAGCAAATCATTCATTTCTTCTGCTTAATAATTTAACATAAGCAAAGTTTCAAAAGCTGGCATGTGACTATTGGGATCGACACCCAAACCCATCACAAAGACACAGCCCACACTCCAACACACTCTCAGAAATAAACAATAAAATATCCTCAACTGCAACAGTTCCCGCTCTCCATGACTCAGAAAAGGAAATGACACAAGGGAGATAAAGCACTGGTAATTGCTGAGCAGGAGCTGTTCAGGCATGCAGCCACATCCCTGAGCCACACAGTGACATCCTCCTTCAGCACCTCTCAGTGGTGGGGCTTGATTTCTTCCTACACCTGAGGCATTTGAACTGCTCACAAACTACCTGCATCTCAAAAGTCATGGTCTGGCCGCCCCATTTCTGATGGCTTGCCAATTGATGGGGACAAATCCAGCCAAGCACACTCCCCAGGAGCCTGGGTCCCATAAAATCATGGGAGGGAGACACAAAGAGCCAGAACTCATGGAGATGCACAGAACCCCTGCACAGACACCTGGGAGCTCATGGAGTGTATGGCCTAAGCAGATTCCTCCACAGACTGCTGAGCTCATGGCCATGCTTTAAAACCAGGAATTGCATCAAATGTTCTGCAAAGGGAGTTCAGGAAAGAATTAACTGAGTTACTTCTGCTTAAGTTCCTTCACTCATTAAAAGGTAATTAGACACTATTATTTATTGCAAAGAGAATTGCAAATGTTGAGAGACACTTGGTGGGGTAAAAATCAGCTGATTTCATTGGCAATGGACACTGAATTGAGATAATCAGTGCCTTTCCCCTGTATCCCAGAGCCTTTGGAAAAGCAACAGACACTGTGATAGAGGGAACTCAATTCATCTTGACTTCACTGCAAACAGTATGGCACTGACTGTTTCTAGAGAATCATGGAATCATTTAGGTTGGAAAAGATCTTTAAGATCACCAAGTCCAACCATAAACATAATGCTGACAAGTCCACCACTAAACCATGTCTTTGATGCAAACCTAAGGCTGCCAAGTCCACAATTAAACCATGTCCTTACAGCCACCACTGCTTTTCACGGAACCATGTGCCTGCTTGAGCAGAAATACAGCTTTCCCATGCCATCCACTGTTTCTCTTGACAACAATGCTAACCTGCCCTGCCTGAATAAAACATGTTTCTCAAAGTATTTGTCTGACCCTAACAAGAATTTTCACGTAGAAGATCAGCAGGTTTTGAAGGGCTCAGATTCTCTCTTTACAAAGCTATTTGCATTACTTATCTACAAGCTTAGACATAAAAGTTCTAGCAGTAAGACAGGCACACCTAGGCACAAGAGTCATGCCACGTACATTTCCTCCTGACCTTTATCCATCTATGGTGTACTCAGATAATAGAGCTGCTGATAGCTCTGCTGGAAACCTCCAAGAGGAACGTGATTCATGTCCCTGTACTTCCTTCAGCTCCCAGACAAATGGAACACAGCAGCATGGTATGGATACACCAACACAGCTGTGAACAGTCTGGCAGATGTACGCACCCAGCTGGCCAGACAAAAACTCAGAAAACAAGGAATGACACTACCTATGGAAGCAGACCTGGTGCAGCCAGCCTGACCATCACAGTAACAGCTACTCAGCTCCTGCAGCTGCTCTGACTCACATGTTGACCAGTCTCAAGGAGGGGTGAAAAGTGACCGCTTGCATCTGCTCACGTAAACACACCCATGGTGCATGGGGGGGAGCCCCTGCCTCTGAGCCTGCTTCCCTGGGCCACCTGATAAACAGCACAGGGTTATCAAGTTATGGGATATTAGACAGCCAATATAAAGTTTTGGACAGAAAATTCTTTATTCTTTGTGCGGAACAAACTTACATGTCCTCCAATGTTATTGCCATCTCATTATTTCTTCCTTTCCATCATATTATAATTTGTCAAATCACAAGTTTTTCCTTACAGTATTAATAAATCATTTAAAGTATATAATTTAAAATTTGTTATTGTTTAAGCCTGGAATAGGAGCTGTAATCTTTGCTAGCAAGAAATACCAGACAAGGCAAAGCACTCCCTCTTATGCTCTGTGCAAAAGCTCTGAAGTGACAGAACAGTAAACAATTATGAAATGCTGCAGGCATTTAAAGGCTTCTGCAGTTTTTTCTGGCACTGGATACATTTTCTTCGCAGATAAGTTAGCAGGGTTGTTTCTGGATCCACGTCTTTTTCCACCACCTGCAAGAAGGGAAAGATATTGATAAACACAAAATGTTTTGCAACACAGATAAGTTAGTTGCAAGGGGAAAGTTTGGTCTTTCTGCAACTTCTTTTCCAAAGCAGGAAGCAAAAATCACAGATTATTTCAGCAATGTTGATCATGTATCCAGACACAATGTTTCCTTGAATTTATTGTGTCAGAGGGAAGTATATGCATTACATACATCTGAGTTTTTCAGTCTTTGCACACTAAGGCAAATCTAAAAAAACCCTTAATCAAAAATGGCAAACAGTAGTGAGAAGAGAAAGAACTGTGTTTTGTACTCAAATCTTGGGTTCCTGACACATCCCAAATGGTGTCTCATCTTTATTGACCCTGAATAACTGAACTTTGTCCTTTCTTTTACTGTTGGAAGAGACAGAGAAAATGAGCAGCTAAACAGAATGACAGAAAGAGCATCAGTAATAGGTTTTGCAGAGAAAAAACCCCAACAGTGGAAATTGTAATGTGACAACACAGGTACAGCAGGATGGACAGCAAGTACCAATCCTCTGAAGTTCCTCCTTCTCCCCTTGTAACATTAAATCAATCAGTATTACAGTAGTAGCTATCCTAAATGTGGGAATAACAAAATTCTAAGAAAGGAAAGTTTTTGCTGCATATTTTGAGCCAACTCCATCCTATTTATAAACCATACTATTAGAAGTCACCCATTAGACATAAAACATTTGACTTTAACCTGTGCCCAGTGGTCAGAAACTGAAGTTCTGCCTTGCCATAGTGCTTGTCTTTCCCTTTTTCTGTTATTAATAAAGTGTCAAGAAACTTTTCCAAATTAATTGTGTGCCAGAACATAATCATGTTCTTGGTTCTTATTTTATGCAAGTCCTAAGTACAATAGTTACAGTTTATTTAAATTAATCACTCCCAGTTTGAAGGGCAAATTGAAACAGGGGTCACTTGTTCAAGTATTCTTTTTTACTTTCTTTTTTTCCCACTGATAAGAGACTTTCACAACCTCTATCCTGCTTCAGTTTTATGCCTTTGACACGTGACATGGTTATCCTAAAGAGACAAGGTTCATACTTCCTTTTTGAGCTCACTCTTTTGGAATTAACTGATAAAATTGCTGCTACAAAACACAACTAGTCACTTTTTGCACATCTCATTCTTTCACTGGGGATGATCTACAGGAAAAAAGGGTCCATTCTAGTTTGGGAATGTCATATTGCAGATCATGCAGCACCCACTGCTGCTATTCAGAGCAGAGTGCCCCTGTTCCCTCACCTCCCGGACACATAGAAACAAACAAAAGCATGCAGTGGCTCTTCCATGACCATCTGGTTCAGAGTAAGCCCATACATCCCTCTGCAGCACCTTGGCAAACAGACAGACACGGGAAGGAAATTCCAACCATCCCAGTGACTGTGAGAGGACAAATGGCCTTTCAGAGCCACTCCACAGGCAAAGAGCCAGCCCCAGCAACTCCCACTGTCACACTGAGTTTCTTCCATGTGTCAGTGCCAATGGCCATTGTAAATCCTTCCAAAGCATAGAAGGATTCCAAGATAGACAGACACAGAGAAGAAACTTTAGAGCACTTAAAGACTACTCTGTGCTTATATCAAAGAAAACATCAAGAGATTTTCTTGAAAGAGTCCAAGAAGTGCTCGGTTATGTACTCAAACCAAGCAATTAAAAGCTTGGCCCACTGGCTTCTTTTCAGGAAGCAGGAACTAAAGGACAGGTCTAGTCCTTCATTTTTCATTTAAACACTCATCTCCATGTACTTTTAGTGATGTAAGGATGCATGAAGTCCCAAAGTTGAAGCTTTGCTGAACTTTATCAGAAAGTATCTCCCACCACATCCCAGACAATCCACACCCTTACTCTGTTCCAGCCAACAGAGTATGGATTGCCCTACTCCACTGGAGCTGTCCATCTGCAGTTCTGGCAGAGACTAGGCATCTGGGGGAGATATGGGTAAGAGAGTGTGGAGAACATTCTGGATTAACACAAAATTTCACACATCAGAGGTCCAGGAGTCATTTCTCTTCACTTCAGATTCCTGGTGGGAGGATGCTTGCTGATGAGTCTCTCTTGCTGGCCACAGAGTAAGAATTTTTTGCTGTTCTTGCCTTTTGCTCATTGTTGTTGATGCTGGCTTGTCCTCCAACATATCACTCCTCCAGTTTGTTGCAATCTCCTGCTGTGATTTGTTCTTAAAATATTTTAAGACCGTGTGGGTGGGGATAACACGTCTTGTCTGATGCCCAGTACAATATAATTCACAGCTCAATACCACAGCTCCTGCTCACCTCCCTCAGTGTCCTTGCACAGAAAGAAACTGAATTCCATCCATTGCCTTCTGTGGTTGTAGGATCAGACAACTTAGACAGTGCAGTTAAAGAAATTGTTCCCTTTTGTAAGTTTTTAGTGCTTGGTAATTTGTTTTATTTTGGTTTCTTTTAATCAAATGTCATATTGCAGGTGTATCAGATTGACAGCCATATTTTGAGAATTTAAAACAGGATTTTACTGCATTTGGCAGTTTAATTATTAATCAAATGCAGAAAGAAACATTGTTGAAAATGTTAGGTTGGCACAGACAGTCAAATGACTCTCAACAAATTTACTCTGTACTGCTGTGTTTGTACTACATGTCTGTTTGCCTACTGATTCTAGGAATTTTAAATACTCAGATCCACCTCAGCAGGGAGCCTGGCCTGGTCCTGAACTTCTGTGTGCTTTTAAGTACCACACAAAGCAGGTTCTGAAGCAGTTCTTTCCACGTTTAGAGAGCATGGACTAGTCCAGAACAATGTTGAACTAACTTCCCAAAAATTTCATGTACAAAACTTCAATGTCAAGAAATATTTTGTTTTCCAGCTTCTCTACCTGCCCCTCCCTAATTCAGATAACTTCGCCTTTACAACACAAAGCATCATATTTAAATTATTATTCCCAGAAAGTTAGAGATTTTTCAGTTTAAGGGGACAGTAGTTGAACAAGGTAAATAGAGGAACAGAAGGAAAGTGAAAACAAACTTTCCCATTTTACCAAACAACACGCTAAACTTTCCATCAGTTGGGATCTATAAATGAGAAGCAGGTGCTCTCCTGAAGGACAAGCTCCCATTCCATCACTAATCCCTGGTCAATGATCAAGTTTCAAGAAGAGAAAGTGAAAGGTTTTAACCAGATTGCCACACAGCAAGTCAGACAAGTCACATGTAAAGGTCCCCTAGGACCTTAAAATCTGTGAATGTGTTATTCCTGAAGACAATGAGAGATTTCAAATTCATTTATTAGGAAAAAGGATTAGAACACAGATGAACAAACCGAATATAATTGCACAATGTAACTTTGCTACTGATCATGAGAACACTTTGGTCTGCTTTAAGCCAGCACACTGAAAGCTTCTAAGTCACTGTTTATGTAGAACCCAGAGGTTCACAAAGGTCAGAAAAATCCTGTATTTTAGCTGGTCCCATCAGCAATCAAATACTCACAGACTTTGGAAGTGGTAAGAGGTCTAATGTGGCTTCCAGCATAGATCCTCCCTTAGCATTCAGAATAGAAATATTGACTCCATGTGTTTAAACTGAAATTACATGCTACATATGCATGAGACAGACTTGTCTGTCAGCCAAGGAAAAAAAATTGCCTCTATTAGCTTTAAATTGAACATGCTGATTTGCATTCTAGTCTAGGCAGACTACTAAGATAACATTGAGTTAGTAGTGTGCCAAGCTATATGCCCAGTGAAATAAACAGTCCTGAATGTAAAGTATGCTCAGCTGCTCCAAGGAGACTTTTCCTTGACAACAGTGCAGACTGGGCTAATGTGAGAGAGAAGAATCTGTTGCAGTCCATGTCCCTGTCTCACAAACCACCTCTTATCACGTGGTTTTGTACAGTGACAGAATGTCAGCAGCCCATTTGCAATGTCAAGCTGTCATGGATTCACACAGCAGTAACTTTTCCCACTGGCCACGTTACCACACTCTTTGCAGTGAATCAACTGGAATGTTTAGTCAGGATCCCAGATGGATAGAGCCATCTCCTCACTTGGAATCATAGAATATATTGACTTGGAAGAGACCCACTAAAGCCATCAAAGCTCAACTCCTGGTCCTACACCCCAAGAATCCCAACAGGTGCCTGAGAGCGTTGCCCAAATACTTCCTGAAGTCTGTCAGACTTGGTGCTGTGTCTACTGCCCTGGGGAGCCTGTTTCAGTGCCCACCCACCCTCTGGGTCAAAAACCTTTTCATAACCTTCCCAGATGGATGCTGTTTCCTCAGGTCCTGCCACTGGTCACCATTGAGAAGATATTAATGCCTGCCTCTCCACTTCCCCTTGTTCCAGCAGAATAGCATTTCCAGGCACTTCCTACCACTCCTTCCATCACATCACCTTTGATGTGCAGCAATGTCCCAACAAACTCCACACACACTGCCACAGATCAGAATGCCCCATGAGTCCAATTCTCTCTCTTTAACCTGCATTTGGTAGGGCTGTAACTTGAGCACTTGAGCAACACACACACAAAAAGGAATAGAAAAAAAAGCCACTGGAGGCTCTGGGTAGAGCAAGTGAAACATGCTCCTTTACTAGAACTGCCTGCTCCATGAGGCAGTGGGAAAGGATGCTAAGAGAGCTTTGACATTCAAATAAGTTGGTACCATTGGTAATATTAATCATCCCTTGGTGTTTGTTTTTGTTTAGTTTGTTTGTTGGTTTGTTTTGTTTTTTTTAGTTTTTTTTCAGCCAAGCTGCCAAGATCACACTGTGATAAACCCCTTTACACATGCACACAGTCAGGCTTCTGTAAACAAGAACGGCATTCCATGAAATGCACCAAGGCCAGTGTCACTGACAGCAGGTTTGTTACCTGCAGGACACAGCAAGGACAGGCAGAAGATCCAAAATGAGCAGGTTGTTTTCTGCTGATAGCCTTCAGGGCCTAGCCTGCCATTTCTCCCCTTCTCTGCCTCATCCCATGTGCATAAAAGAAAGTCCCACAAGGCCAGCTCTGGACTTTGACTAATAGACATTTTCATGTGTTAGCAAAAAGTTTTCTCCAGGAAGAAGGACTTTTCTAACAATTTACACAGAGCAGTGCTCTTGCAATAACTGAGCACCAGCTGAAGCAGCACTTGTAACTGCATGCAGGAATTTGTTTAGAAACTCTTCATACCTACCATGAGAGGCCTATTGATTTCGAACCTCAGCTGATCTGGCACCAGAACTACAATTCTCTTTCATTAGAGCATTCCAGAAAAAAAAAAAAAATCAAACAAGACAGGACACTTGGCTTGTATCAGGGTCTGGATTGCCCAACACATTTGTGGTAATGCAAGAACTAAAGAGCTCCAAGTTCACCCTCTATACACTGAGGTTCACAAAGGAATCATCTCACAAAAACTTCACAGAGCAAGAAGACAACAAGTTAATGGTATGCCACCTGTTCCCACCAGAGCAGAATTCACCAGATAAAATTCACAGACCATCCTATGCCACAATTTCAATTACCAGACTCAATTAACTTGGAGCTTCAAGTTTTCATCTCTTTCTAGAAACAATGAATGGCTGATATGTCAATTAACACATATTAACCACTATAATCTGTGTGAGCAAAGCTTTAGTTGTCATCCTTCTCTATAAAACCTCAGAACCAAGCCTGGGCTCTACATCGGCATTATATTTAACAACTCTATGACTAACTTTTACTGCACACTAGATAAACTTCATTCTTCAGTAAACTGTTAATATATCAATAAAACAAAATATTCATATCAAATCCACTAGTACCTCCAAAAGTTCTAATTCCAATCCAGATTGGGATACAAAATCATAACTAAAACCCTTAACTGTAGCTACACTCTCATCTACATTAAACAACCATGAAAAAGCAAAAAAAAGCAAAATTGATAATAATGCTGTGCTAGTCTGTAAGGCAGGGCACAGAGCTTTTTAAACAACTGAGAGTATTGTGCGATCCCTCAAGGGATTAAAAATTAATTGTCTAGCCCAAACCCAGTACACCACCTGATTTATACCCCTAAGCAGTGCTCAGGGAAGCTTTGCAAACTCTTGGCTCTACACCAATGGATGAGCAACCCTGTCCTCTTCCCTTCCCAGCAGGAAGCTGCTTTGGCACAAGTTCCCTTGCCCAAGTGTCTAGGCAAGGGGAAGGTGGGGAAGGCAGCACTGAGGTGAGCTCAGAAACAGAATTAACTTGGTAGCTGGTCAAAGAGTCAGCTTTGACTTTTGCAACAAGCCTTTGAAGAGCCAAGGCTGCATTGCTAGCCAGGCAAAGTCCAAACTGGGGAAAGGGGGCTCTGGGACAAGCTGTTCAAATGTGTCCATCATGTGCAGTGAGCACCTCAGCCTCCTGTGAGACACAGTCACTTCTCAGGTTATTGTCATGAATCTGTATCATTAATGGGCTTTCATTCTGAAGAGTTTTCTAGCTTCTTAAATGGAATAAACATTTTTCTAAATCCCTTTTAAAAACCAGATGTTAGAATTACTTATTGATGAATTATATGCGGAATTATCTATGGATGCTTCCATTTGAGTTAAATTTTCCAGATCTGTTGTAAATACTGAACTTTTCTAGTAGAAATGCTTGTATTCAGCAGTGCACACTTATTTAAAAGTAGTTACATTAGAATTGTAATAAATTATTGCCAACAAATCTAAAATGTAAAAGGAATATCATATGTGTTAGCCTTTGAATAATTCACAAAGTAAACTCAAAGAAGAGAAAAAGGCATTTGGCAAAGCAATATGTAGTCTTCATGTTTATTACTTAAAAGTCATGGAATATGTATTCTTATCAGAAAACTTAAGAGGAGGAAAAAGATGACTAGAAAAGTAATCAAGCCACAGTCCAGGAGCAGGCTGGACAGAAAGCTGGAATCTTCCTTACCTTTTTACCATTTACAAAGAAAACAAGTTCATCCCCTGCCTCGTTGGGAGCCATCCTGCACACCTTCCAAACTTCACTCAAACAGGGCCACAGATCAGCCTTGTGAGAGCAGCCCTGCTCCTCAGAGCAAAGTGAGCACCAGCCAACCACGAGTGACACGAGTGTGCCTCCACAACGTTTGAGTTGATTTTTTACACCGGTGCCCTGTGAAACCCCATATTATATAAGAGGCAATGAAGAGGCGTGCCAGCTGCCTGTGGTTGGTGCTTCTGCAGCCCTAATGACAGAAAAGGAGCTGGAAGCAGCACAGTGACCCGCCCCCTTTTATATAGCAGAGGATCACAATTCAGCTGCATTCCCTTTAGATTATCCTGCCAGGCTTGGGGCACTGCTGTGTGCCACTAGCAAGGAATTCATGGGGTTTTGCAATGCAATGCAAACTTCAGGGGAGGGAGGGGGCGTTCTCCCAGCTATCCCTCACCAAATATTGACAAGAAAAAGCTGTTTCCCTTGTCGTGTGCACAGCCTGGCATTCACCACACAAAGGTCTCCAATGACAGCAACTGCTTATTTAAAAACTCCTTGATATGTGCACATCTGCTGCTATAATTTCACTGTTTTCCCTCACAGTTTTAAAGCTGCAGTACCCTCTACCTGGGAGGACATAATTTAAATATGTTTGTCCACATAAAAGCAAATCTAGAGAACTGGCACTCTGATCCAGCACCTCAAAAGAGGCTGGACCATAAGGCTAAGACCATAATGTTTACACTGGTCTCTTAAAGCATTTAGTCTTACCTGTTTTGGCTTAATCCTCACATCCTGGCTCCTAGGTGCATGTTGCCAGTGAAGTACAGAGGAAAACCAAGGATTTTTTGTCTTCCATTTCCCTGGTGGTGGTTTCTTCTGGCTTCTCCATTGCACAACCACACATTTTGTGTGAAGTCTTCCTGTTTATGTCTTCCAAAGCTGTTGGCAGAATCATCCACGTGATGGCAGAATCCATATGACAGGCATTGGTTTAATGAACAAGATATCTAAACAGCTACTTCCAGTTTAAAATTCCACCACAAAGAGCACAGTTCCAAAGTCTCATTGAAGTTTCCTATCACTGTACCTTATCCTGTCTGCTCCATTCTGATTCTTGTGATTTTGCTTTCTTTCTTCAGTTTCAGTTATTTTTGATCAGGTTTTTAAATTATTTCTTTTAAATGCCTAGGAAAGCACTATATCAAAGTCTTCTTCTCAGGAATCTCTGAATAATTAATACAATAACATGGCCTAATTAAATTGAAATTTTCAGAAACAGTCTTTCCTTCAGTATTACAGAAATGTTTCACTGTGAATACAATACATACATTATTTTTACCAGCTTTTATCTTCTGTCTCATCTATTCTGTTTCCCAGTCTATACCCTAGAAAAGCTATTTCATAACTAATGTCAAACACCATTCAACCTTCTTTACAGGCATTTCAGTTTGCTGAAAGTAGAGTTCACAGCAAATTTGTGCTTAAAACCAGCTGCCTTAATCTATGTTTTCAGTGAAGTTGTGCATAGCTGAACCAGTGCTGACACCTATTGTCTGGCACCTCCCACTTTGCAATGTCAGAGTACTAGAAAATACACTTTTCTCCAAGTAATCTTAAGCCCTGTTGCTTGGTATTTCTGTGCAAAATTTACACAAGAACTACCCTCCTGTAGCAAGCTTCAATCTCAAAATTAGTGTACACAAGGTTACTACTCATTAATAGTTTTGTAATATTTCAAACAACAATCATTACTCATAACCACAAGTAATGTGTTATTACAGCAATCTTAAAGCAACTAGCCATTACAGCATTAACACCAAAAACAAACTTGTTTAGTTACCTAATCTGTGTTTTCCATAATGCATGATGCAGTTCTTAGGTTTAAAGAACATTTCCAATCATATAATCACTTTTTAAAGGAAGCCCATACTCAAATTTCTGCCTAGCCTAGGTGATAACATTATAGGTAAACTATTGCTTTCTGCTAAATCAGTAAACAGCACCTGATGATATTCCATCACAGGAATTTGATCCATCAACCTACTATATACCTAAGACAAAACTAAAGATAAATACAACCATGATCATGATCTCTATTTGTAGATTACATGGTAATTTAAAACTTCAGACCTCATCTCAACAGAGTGTCTGATCACACAGCACCAAACTCACTCATTCTCTCATCACCCTGATGGGATAATGTGTTATTATACCCATTTCAAAGACTGAGAACCAAGACATACAGAACAGGAACTTTCCTAGTGCTCTAAATAACTCTGGAGCATGAGAACGTGTGCTATTGAAATCTCCTGTCCATTTTTTGACATCCCACCTACTCTGAAACAGAACAGAGGATTATGAGAAATCAGAGAAAAGAAAGCGAAAGCTAAAAAAAGCCAACTCTCAAAATCCTCAACCCTCAACACAAGAACTCCCTTAAGTGAGCTAAAATAGAGAAGTTTCCTCAATCAAATAAAAATTAGTTATTAGACAAAGTATTCTGACTTACCAGGCAGATAAAGACTAGCAGGTTTCCCATTTTTAGAAATCTTCCCTTTGCCCATTAATAACCCTGAGATGGGAATGTTTTAGAAGTTCAAAATTCCTTGCAGTCTCATTCACTCACTAAAGAGCTCGGAAAACAGTTGATATTAGTCAGGAATATATATAATTACTTTTAAAGTAGCTGACTTTCCTCATTCTGACTGGTTAATCCTGTAGACCTGGCTATTGTTATCATAATAATAATAATGATCATCTGTTCTGCAGATGATCACATGTGTAGCTCAATAAATACAGTGAAATTTATGGAAACACTATTCCTGCCAGGAGTTAACTGCCAGAATTAGGTCAATAGATGAAAGTACAACGAGGAAACAAAGCCAGGGATAATAAAGGAGGAGATTTAAAACAAATAGAAGTGAGATATTTTGCTCTGTTCTCACATTCCTCTTTCCAGGTAACAGGAAAGAAGAAAGTACAGGTGACTCTGAAGAGAATTCTATGAAGGGATTTATGAGGAGCAATTTTTAAAGCAAATACAAAAGAGAACAGAGTCCCAGGTCAGTGCTTTAATGCAGTAACCCCTGTATCAAGCTTCCAGTGTCTGCACACTTAGTCTGTGTGCCCACTGTCCCTCTGGAGCCACTGTAGCTAAACCATTTTGGACAGCATCTTCCCCCAGAAGCAGAAACAACCCTTTGCTTTAGTTCTGGTGATCCCTCTTCTGTTGGCTCATGTATCCTTGTAGGAACACACACTGGACTCTCTTCAGGGATCTTGAGAGGTCTCCACCTGCTCTTATCAGGGTCAGTCATGAGGGCACACAAGGTTTATTAGAGCTGTGCACACCATCTCTGACTTCTTAAAAATCCATTTTTAGAGCCTCAGCTATTGGTGGTTGTGGCTTTTGTTCTGAGTGTTCTCTGTATGAGTTTAAAAAACCCAACACATCACAGAGTAATGATTATAAATTGAGTGTAAAGACAGTGTGTTGCCTGAGGATGTTTGTTCTTCTCTTTGGCATCACCTATCAGCCACTGGGGAAGACAGGTTCCTGAAAGAAGTGGGCCTTTTATCTTACTGGATAGGGACAATCATTTTTTATTTCTAAAGTCTCCAAAAAGAGCTCAAAGAAACAAAACCATTGGGGATCCTAATACAGACAGTAAAGTTAATACTCGACAATAATAAAACATCCCAAAAAAACCCAACCAAACACAAAACCCCCCAAAAATCTCCACATAAAATTGCCATATGATTATGCGTTGAGGACTCCCCATGTGTGGGGACATGAGGCTTGACTCTATGTTTCTCAGAAGGTTGATTTATTATATTATGATATATATTATATTAAAATACTATGTTAAAACTATACTAAAGGAACAGAGAGAAAAGAATGATTAGAAGGTTACCAAGAACAAGAAGAGAATAGAATAACAAAATCTTGTGACTGCTCACAACCTTGGCACAGGTGGCTGTGATTGTTTCCAATTGATGACCAATCTACATGAACAATTGAAACAATCTGCATAATAGAAGATGCACCTGTTGCATCCCACAGCAGCAGATAGTTATTGTTTACATTTCTCTCCTGAGGCCTTCAGCTCCTCAGGAGGGGAAAATCCTAGCAGAGGATTTTTCATAAAATATCATAGTAACAATTATGAAAGTAAGGTACTGTGCATTTTTTCAAAGGCATTTCTCAGAAATTTTTTAAAAAAAGAAATTATGTTCATGCACTTTCCTGTGAGGGGTCTAAATTTCTTTCTGGTTACAGATAGACATTTGAGAAAGATCATCATTACAAAGCAAATATAAATTTGATTTCCCCATTGTGGTTTGTGAGTGGATACTAGCTCATTATTCATGAATCACTAATCATTCAGTGTTCAGCTTCTAATTGTACAAATATTGTCTAATTATCCAGATTTATTGCAGGAATTATGATCTCTTCACCTGCTTTTGAAGATGGGTGGAGTTTAATTATAGCTCTTTTCTTTGTCCTACCACCTGTTCTCCTACGAGAGCAAGAAATGAGCAAGGTTAGCCAATGCAGCCTTCTGTTGAGGAGTCCTGGTTGTCACTATTTATCACAATAATTAGCAGAGCATGACTTATTTCAATTTATTCAGTGTTTCTTCCATTGCCTATTTCCAGTGGGCCAAACAAAGGATGTTTCAGATATATGACCTGAAAAGCAACTTTTTTTCTAGCAGGCTTGTTAATGTGTGTTCCTTGTCTTCAGCAGCACCAAACTTGATACCTATCACTTGTTTTTTACCTGCTTCCAGGTACCATGTGAGAGAAACTTCCTATACCTACCCTGATAATCCAACTCAATAAAATCATACCTTCTTCATCTTTGTTTCTCTTCATCTGCTGACATTTTAGGAGCATCTTTTGTGTTTAAACATTCTCTCTCTGTCCCAGAAGGAGACAGAGCTCACTTGCAGAGACTGCCTGTTTGCCCTGTCACAGGAGGAAGCATTATCTCCAGTGGGTGTTCCAAGGAAGAAAGGGCAGGGAAGCAGCTGCAAGAACCACACAGGGCTCTTCATTCTTCTGAACAGCTG